CTTTTTTGTGCCACAGACAATTACATTACCCATGTAATGCAGCTCAGTAGCTTGCACTGGGATGAAATATAATTGACTTTGGGGTAAAGTTTATCTCCCAAAAAAGCATGAAGTCTTGAAAATATTAAGGGGCAGAGAAGCCACTATCTTCTCTGGTTGCTGGTTCCAGTGGTTAATCACTGTCACTGCTGAATTTGTCTTCATCATTCAACCGCTGGCTTTCTTTGTGCCTTTTTGCCATAGACTAAAGACCTCTCTGGCACCAAGCTTTTTCTAAAGGTGTTTTGATATTGTGATCCCATCACCCTTTCACATCTCTTGTGAGAAAAATCATGTCCCCTCATTGCATGCTTTTTTTGTCCTTCCCTTCTCTTTCTCAAGCTATACCCTCCAAAGAAAAAACCCAATTGTTTTGATATTTTTCTGCCCTCTGTCCAACTGTCCAACATTGTTTTTACAGCTCAAACAACAGCCAAAGGGCAGGCTGTGTTCCAGTCTTTCTCACCAGCCTGTGTACATATTAAGATCATCTCCCCACTTTGATACTCCTCTGGTTTTGCAATCCAAGACTCCTGTCTGTTCTAGCATTGCCCTGGGAGTTCACACTGAATTATTTGTCTGCTTTTAGCTTTTCACTCCTCCAGGGTTACAACTTTCCAGGAAATAGGATATCCCTTGGGGTTCTTGTATAATTTTTGATTTTTTTTACAGTCCATGCATATTCTCTGGGGGATGTTTGCACATGGAATACTTTTTCTTCAAGATACAAAGCATTATAATATATTTCAGATCATTGTCAGATAACACTGTGCAAACACTTGAGCTTGCATTTTCCAAACAGAGCAAATGTTTGTAAAAGGATAAGGACAAAAACTAATGGAATAAATGCCGCTGTCTTTGCCAACTAGATATTTCTCTATATTTAGGATTGTAAAGTGCAGAGAAAACTTTTATTTTTTCACTAGAATAGGAAATAAACCTCATGAATAACACAGTATTTCGCAGGATTTCAACACAACAATACATATAGAAAACTGTCTGATAGGGTACAGTATATATACAATCTGATCAGGACACTGATAAATTGAATCAATATTTCTAATCTGAATGAATGGTGCGCATGTTTCTTTTCTCTGCAAATCTAGCATTACAATCCTTTTTCATGCAGTCCAAGTCAGAAGAAGGAAAGGTATGGGATTTCTTGGTACCATAAATAAAATATGATGGTAGAAAACAAAAGTGAAGCTGTGCAAGACAGCGGGCTGGAAAATCAACACGGGCTGGAAATGGAAATTAAGATTAAAGGTAACACTTAGCCACAAGACTATTCTTAGCAGCTTTAGAATAGTATGCAGTTAAATAAACACACATGGAAAGCTTACTTTGTAATGTGCCTAGCTCTCACTTTTAACAGCAGATGATTGCTATTTACTCAAGGGTAGTGAACCGCAGGAAGCTGAGCTTTTTTAGCACTCTTGCCCTGAAAAAGAACTATGTGAAGGCAATTCAATATAAACTCTCTTCCTTCCTTCTTTCCCAGTTCCACCCACAGCTGTGCCTTTTATTCCTTGACTGTATATCTGAGCATCTCCAGTTTGGACAAATGAAGATCACTCCCAGCTATGGAGTGAGTTTTTGCTGGTGATGCTGAGTCTTTGTGTTTTGTATGAGAGTCAGGGAGTGCTATGATGCAAACCTGCCTGACCTGGGATGACAGAAGTTCAAGAACCTTGACTGAAATGGGAACTTCTACACCCTCATCTCCTTTATACAAGAAAGTGAATGATGAAGCCATTTGCAACCTCAGGAAGCTTAGGATATCGTGAACACCTTTAGCCAGTTTCTGACTGCAAGTGGTAGCTGCTTAATGACATGAGTTATGTTATTACAGCACTGTGGAGAGCAATTGCTGTTGGCATAGTTGTTGGCACTTGCCATAACTAAGTTTTATGTGAAGGGAAACATAAATCTTGCATTTGGGCATCCTGTGCATATGGAAACACGAACAATGAGGTGCTGAGGTCAGTGATAGAGGCAAAGATCTTTTTTTATCCCAAAGAAAATGACTTCATAAATAATTTAAAAGTGAAGAAAGTGAAAGATATAACTGAAAAATAACTGTTTTGCTAAATAAGATATTCAAACATGTCCTTGATATTTGGCTAAGGAAATGGGATCCAAACTGTATATTCAACTGGCTTAAGCTATGCTGGTTCACTTTGTATGTCCTGGTGATTTTTGATTATGATATTCTGCTTTGCAGGCAGGCTAGTGGTATAACTCAGTAGCAGCAATAAATTGTTAAATTTTGGTTGATATTAATAACAATTCTGTGCTTTTTCAGATGCATGGAAATCAGCTTAGATTGTGGTTTCTTTTTAACCTGTGCAGATTTTGTTGGAGTGATGTGTATTTCCTAATCTGATCAAAACTATTTATTCCTAACAATTCTTCTTTAGAGGTAAAAAAATGGTGTCCTAAAATGGAAGATTGCTTTAAGGAATTAGAACTTTTAGTCTGAAACAAGAAAACAGACAAGAAAACAGAAAGCAAGCAAGCAAGACAGCTCAAAGAAGAAGTTCAATGTCCTTCTTAGTGCTAAGTGAGCTGGTTTAGTCAAAATGTTGGTAGCCCTGATCTCCCTAACTAGATCAAAGTTTAAGGAAACTGTGCTTAAGGAAAGCCTATCAGGCGAACTTCTCAGTAGATTTGTATGAATACATACAATTCCTTAGTGAGGCGTGAGAGGTGGAGCTTGGAAACACAAAAGAACTTAACAGCAAATCTGTGGTTTCTTATGAGGTGCAACATGAACTGATCTTTGGTGGTCTTTCTCTTCCTATCCCTTGAAAGACAACATTGGTTTTGCTTACATTTTGGCATCAAAACAGAAAATATCTGAAGTATTACAGTTTTCTAAAGTGGAAAGACAATTCTCCCAGCAGCTATAGATCAGGTGAATTTTTTCAGGCAGGCTGAATTTGCTCTCTGTATGTCACTGGCTGGCATTTCCCTTGCTGTAGGGGAGAGCCTGAAATCCATGTCATGTGTCAGGAGGTGAAGCACTGCTCAGAGAGCGTGGGATGGCCCTGGGGCAGGTTTGTTCAGCTTGCAGAGCCCTGGGAGAGCAGACTGAGCTGCTGCCCTGCCGGAGGCTGCCCTGCAGAGCAGCGTGCACAGACCCACACAAACAGACAGCTCTGTATGGAGTGGGTTTGTCAGAGCCTGCAGCTGCAGCCAGGCTGCTCACAGGACCCAATATTGCTAATTTAAAGAGAGCTTGATAGGCCTACATAGATTTCAATCACAGTAGTGACTTTCTTTCCATGAATAAGCAACCTCTAGACAGACTAATTGATTACATATATCTTTGACCAGTATGCTGTGCTTCTTGCCTTTTCTTCCTATTCTTGCCTTTTCTTCCTATTCTTGCCTTCTTGCTATTCATCTGTAAGAATTTAAATACTCAAGGACACATAAAATCCATATGTATTTGTGAATTAAATAAGAAGCAAATTTCTAAATCTTGTGTTTGGATTTTATACTAGCTAGTGTAGAAATCATGTGAATGTGAGCACTAGTCCAGGTTTGAGCTTCTAAATCTTTCTGAAATCTTGAGGTTAAGGCTGGGAAATCTCCACAGCCTAAAGACCATCCATGGATCACACCCCCTATTTCAGTGTCCACAGGATTCAAGCATCTTATCGAGTCTTTCATATTTGATCACTGGATTTTATGTTATCAGAACTGAGAATTGTCTTCATAAAAGAATTCTGTGCAAGCTGGCAACATCTACCCCACCTCACTCTTTGCAATAGTGAGACAGGGTAGATGTCACAAAAATGAAATGGTTTGATGGAAAAACATCAGGTCTGATTTTAACACAATTTGATGCAGTTGTATCTCTAGAGTTGATTTTATTGGCTCATATAATCTGTTTCTCTCTTGAGCTTTAGCCATTGGATTTTATTAGCTTCAACATTTCATGGTTGTACAGCTCACTGGCAAAGACAGAAATTATTGTAATGGCTGTAATGAGAGGGTAGATTTTCATCCTTAGTTTTATGAAGGACTCATTTATCATTTCTTTCAAAATGCCATTTAAAAATGTGAATAGGTCTGATTATGCTGCTATGAATTGTACACACTAAACATATATATAGATGATTTGCATTATATTGTATTTAACAAATGGGGAAATATTTGAAGATTTGAAACCAAAGCTATCCTCTTCAAAAATATTTTTATAGAAAAATCTTATTCATAACTAAGAGGGAATAATGTCATTAAATCTCTTAATTGTCTAAGCAAAAGAATTGGGCAATAGGGCTTTTTGTTTGTTTAAGGAGAAAAGGGGTTGGAGGGCATTGCTCATCACTGTGGTATTCCTTGAGTAATAAAGTAATAAACAGTTTGAGGTCTGCATTATGGTCCCCTGAGTGCTCACATGAGTTCAGGTGGGGAATATCTAAGAGGTGCAGCATGGCTGGTTCCTCAGGGAACTAGGGAAATTTTGGGAAATAAGTGCCTTAAGATCCTGCCTCAAGCAGTGAGCTCCTAGTACTGAGAGAAGCTGTGCAAACCCAGGCTGTTCTCAGCTGAAGAACTGAGCAGTTGCACCCACCTTTTGCCTTCCTGCAGGGGATGCATTGCGGGGTGGACTCTCCATTGCTGGAAAGGCTGGAGAGTGAGCAGCCCCCACCCTCACCCCACAACTGCCTGTCACCTCAGTTTGCTGAGGGTAGCTGGTTGTGAGGATGAGTAACAATCTGCATCTATCATTTAGCTTTATATCAGATTTTTTTTAAAATAAATAAATAAAAAATCCTTCTCTGTTGGGGATTGAAAAAGTTGCAATTATGTTTATGCTACTACTTAAGAAAGTACACATGGAGCCTCATAATTAATTAAACAAATCCTATGATTATACAAAATGCTGAAACAGGCAAGCAGTGTCTACATTTTCCAAAGTATTGAAAAAAATTATTTGTTTTTTTCAGCATTGCTAGAGAAACCCATCAGCAAAAGACGAGACAGTGAAGCTGTACAGAAGGCCAAGATCCTTTATGCATCCTGCATGAATGAGGGTAAGTAAATTGATTTGAGGTCACAGATGCATTTCCTGCATTTATAAAGGCAGGCTTTTGTCTCTCTGCAGAGCTCTGTGAGGCTCTGTGCAGATGCATGGATTGTACTGATATGGATTCAGCAGGGGTTGAAGCTGTGAACTGAGGCTGAGGTACACTCAGGTACAAGTCAGTTTTAGAGAAACCTCTGCTTGTCAGAACTGTGAAGAGATATTTATCTGTGCAAAAGGATGTTAAACTGTGCCCCAGGGTTGTGGGGTTAGTGCCTGGGGTTATTAAATCAGAGGAATACTCTGATGAAATTCTCATACTGATATTTTCAAGTGCCTGTTGCTCATCACCTTCTACATTTCTCTAAATCTGTTTAATCAAAACACTACCCCAGGGCTGGGTATAGACAGCCCTGACTCTAGCTTTGGTATCTGCATGTCAAGAAAGTTGGCCATGTTTGCAGAGTGCTTTTCCTCAGCTTGTAAATGCTGTAAGGTAATGTTCACTAATTCGGGATATCAATACTCTTAGGTAGCTGCACAGGTGAAAGAAGGCTTGGAAGTCCCCTTTGTCCTTCTGACTCTTTCAGGATTTATTTCCTGCACACTTTTCTTACAGCATGGCCCATCTGACTGCCAGCAAGTGAGACAGCCTGCTCTACAACCTTGGTGCCCAGATATTGCCCCTGTGAATTTGATTATGAGCAATAACCCCCAAAATTTCCCTAAAACCAGTGAAATTTCTATGCTAGTTCCTAAGCAAAGAGTGTTTGTTTTTTTTTTAAATTTACCTAATTCTATCCTTTGCCTTTTTGGAAATGTGCTGACTTGCCTCTCTTATTCTTGATACAGATAAACAGGGTTGGACTTCTATGCTGCCCGGCTCACAGGCAGAGCAGAGGCTTTGAGTTTCAGCTATTGTGATTGCCTTGCCTGGAAGTCAATCGATGCCAATAAATCTTTGTCTTGTGTGGCTGCTGCTGGACTTGAATTGTCTGGAATGTAATTGTTATCACACTTGGGCATTTCAGATAAAATTGAAAAAGCCGATGTGAAACCCCTGTTAAGTATCCTGAAGCATTCACCTTTCCGCTGGCCTGTGCTGGAATCCAATATTGGACCTGAAGGACTGTGGTCAGAGAGGAAGTTCAGCTTGGTCCAAGCCTTGGCAACTCTTCGTGGCCAATACAGCAGCTCTGTCTTCATCCGTTTGTATGTGGCTGCTGATGACAAAATCTCCCACCGCTATATCCTGAAGGTAGAGTACAGCATTTCTAACAGGTCACTTCGCATGCTGTTTTATGGTCTCTTTTTTTAAAACATGTTTACGTACCAAATGTTTACATTTTATTGTTCTTGTTGTTATCTGCTGTCTTACAGATGCATGTAGGTGCCTGTTTATGGGAATGTAGAAGTCACTAGCAACCACATGCTATTGAAAAGTATTTCTGTACAGGTTTTCTTCTTTCAAATGGAAAAAACCCATAAAAATGTCCCAGTAGACCAATAGCCAGGGTTTATGTGCAGGAGAATCAGAACTCAGTATCTGATTCTGTGTGCTGCTTATGACTCATCGGTTGCCTGAAGAAGGATTTTTGTCTGTGAGGATGAAAAATGGTCCATCGGTAGCAGATATTTTGAACTTGAGCTGTTTTTCTTGAGATGGAAACGCTTAATCTGGTGCTTATACAGCACCTTACAAGAGAGATTTATCCCAAGTGCTTTTAAACGCGAAATAAGAGAATTCACATTTTTCCTGAAATGCTTTTAGACCTGAAATTGCTTTTAGAACAATTGAAATTTTCCTGAAATTGCTTTTAGACCAAAACATTGCCGAATTGTTAACAATGAATGGCATTAAATAACAGTTTAGTAAGAAAAAGACTCAAGAAATGTTGCCTCCCTGTAGTCTGACAGAACTCCAGATAAAATTGTATAACTGTGGCAAGGCTGAGTGCCTGAGCCAAATGCATTGCTGTTTAAGAACTTCGGATGAGAAGCCAGAGCACACCCTTCCTCCATGGCTACAAGAAAATAGTTCATGAAAGCAAGAGAGAAGGAACAAATAAGAAAGTTACGATGGCATTCATCACAGCAAAAAAAGGATCTCAGATCCTTATTTTGCTAGTATCTTGGCTAGCTGTAGGAATGTAGCCAAGAATACATTGTATTTAGGGACTGTGGTGGTACTGGACAGTTCTAAGTCAGTTCTTCCATGCGTCTTTTGACTGAGGCATTTAACTGGCATAAAGTTGAAGGGTAACTTTCCTTCATCTCTAGGACATTTTCCTGAATAATCAACAGCAGATCAACAGTTTGCTGTGTTAAAGGTTTCATTCTGCTACAATGCTGTTGAGATCCTGTCAGGTTTTCTTCAGCTGGAGACTCACTCAAAAGAACTGAAGCTGTAGAATCAGGGAGATGTTTATCCAAGTATCTCCTGTCATATATTTCAGTTCAAGTCTCCTGTCAGCAAATGGCTGGGCAGGAGCACCCTCACTGCTGGTCTCTTGGAAATGATTTACAACCAGCAGGACCTTCACTCACAATGCTTAGGGGCACCTAGGAATTAAATATCTAACTGAAGCACTACATGCTATAAATGACATATATTCTGTGGGTGTTCTGATGTTAATTTGGTTCAGACCTTGATCTGCAGAATGCAAAGCCACTGCTGTACTTTGTCACTGTTTTAACAAATTCCCTGGGTGTAGATGTACCACAGTGTATTTCAATCTGCTTGTAAAAATGGCTTTATTGCAAAATTATCTTTGTTCAGCATTGCAAAATCATCAATGGGTCATAAAAGAAGTGAATGCTGAAGCTGTTGGTTAACATTTTTTGTTTGTTTCTCATATTTGTGCTCTCTTGGTTTAATTTGCTGTCAAATCTAATTCTTAAGACCAGGGAATTTGAATGAGCATTTAATGTAACAGTCACATAATTGAAATTCCCCAAATAATCTGAAGTTAACTATTGCAAAGAAACATGTACAAGAAAACATAAGAGTATATTCTTTTTGCATCATTGTGCTGAAAAAAGAAACTGATGCTGTTTTTCAAAGAATGAGAATTGCGCTGAGCATCACAATTACTCCTTTCTCAGGATGGTTTCTTTTGTAGAGGAAAAGATTACATTTATTCATGCACTTAAAATTCTAAGTTTTATTTATTTTTCACATGTAGAAAATGTGAACTATAAATCAATTAGCCTAAAGTATTTAGATTAAATAAGACTTATATGAATTGTATGAATAAATACAGTCTATTGTCACTGGACTTATCTTTTAAAAACAATTGCAGCATCAAACAAAAAATGTTTAGAACATCTAAGAAGTTGCTTCTGCTCCAATCTGTATCTTATTCAGAGTTTGGAAGACGATTGATGGAAGTTTTCAGCTTTGGCTTCCATACCCTAACCTAAGTTAATCGCATTAAAAAGTTCTGGGAAATCTCAGTTACTAGTAATTATTATAAAATACATGCTGTGTAGTGAGTTTTTTCCTGGTTAGGAATTTGAAACAGTATGCAAATATTCCCATGTAGATATTTCACTCAAAACACTAAATGCAGATCTCAAACTTTCAGGTCTAATTCCAGTATTAGGGTGAATGTAGACCAGAAAATCTGATCCATGTTTAGATGGAAAAGGTAAGTGAAGGTCAAAGATCCATCTGGACTACCAGACACCTTTAGCTGAGGTACTGGGGACATAACATTATCCTGTGCATGCAATCCTGGCTGGCACTTCTATTTCAGTTCATCTGTTCAGAAGACTGAGTACAGCTCCCAGTGCTGGTCTAGGGTGAAGCTCAAAAGTGTAACCCCAGCTTCAGTCACAAAAACCTGATGATGCCTCCCAGATAGACAGCAGCTCTCATGCTGCAGCACCTCGGGGGCATTTGGCGCATACACTGGACTGGTGTGGTCCCAAGCTGACTCCTGTACCCCAGAAACAGGCATAGTCATCATCACCTGTGGTTTGATCCTGTAGGCCCAGTCCTTTTGCATTTCCTACTCACTGATGTAGCTGTTTTAAACAGCTAAATCACACCTGTGATTCTTTTCTTTAGGTGGCTTAGCTATTGCAGGGGTCATCTGAGGCTCCCTAGACCACAGTAATGTGATTTAGTTAATTCCTGTCAGCACAGCATAGCATTTTCCTGATGTTTTTAAATCCTGTCCAACTCAGACTGGTGCAGTGTTTTATATGCTGGGTATTTGCACACAACTACTGTAATTGCCAGAAAAACGTGAACTCTTCCAAAACTGCTTGTCAGTTTATCTTTGAATCTGATGAATTTAGCTGTTAAATGTTACTTTGTGTTGTTTTTAACAGCTTGATCAAGCAAGCCTCTCTCTGGCATCTCGAGAGGATTATCTAGAAAATACCACAGAAGCCAAATCTGTAAGTATTGTCAGCTGAAAAATAGAGCCACCATTATTCCCCTCATCTTTTTTCATTATTAGTTTTGTTTTGTTGAGCTCCAAACTGAGAAAAGGTTGTGCTTTGTTTGGATTTGGGTTTTGCAGGGTTTCTAGCAGAAAACACACTTCTATCAAATACTCTTGCAAAGTTTCCTAAGTGAAACTTGCACTTGTATACAAGTACTTCTGTCCCATGATGGTTACTGTATTAGTTGGCTTAAAATATTGGTGTGAATTTTTACACATTGTCTAATCCATTTGTAAGAGCTGAACATTGTCAGTCTAATCCAGAAATGTCATTTGCATTTCCTGAGTTTTGTACTCCCTGAACTACAGCAGTTGTCTCTGTCATGCACGGTATTTTTACAGTGTTATTTCTCCTTTTTAACTTGCTTACCATTCAAGGTAAGGAAAGCACAACCTTGGTTCCTAAGGCATGAAAATAATATACCCCTTTCTATAACTGGGCATTTCTGGTCTGTTGCTGCAACTCTCAAGAGCAAATTTGCTCAAGAGCAAATCCTGTTATCATTTGAGTCTTTCTCTTTCTTTGCAGTACCGAGATGCCTTTTTGAAGTTCATGGTTGATACAGCAGTGCTTCTGGGTGCAAATGCCTCCCGAGCCGAATCTGATATGAAATCAGTTCTAAAACTGGAAGTTAAAATAGCAGAGGTTGGTAATCTAATCTAATCTAATCTAATCTAATCTAATCTAATCTAATCTAATCTAATCTAATCTAATCTAATCTAATCTAATCCTTTCTTGAAATGAAATGCCATTGTATCAACAGCATTAGCAAAGAGATTTTAGAAGCAGAATGAGCAGATCCTGATGAAGAAAGGATGGTTAATATTTCTCCCTTAGTTAACTGTTAAACTGGAAATTTTATTTGTCAGAATCTGTGGGTATTGATGATTCCGAGATTGCAGAAAGTCTCTGTCTTTCTGCCCCATTGCCAAAGAAAAAGCCATAATTCATCTGTGCTGTTTTCAAGGTTGTTTATTCTGTTTATCTCTAACATGTTCTGCTGCCCTGCCGCAGGTCTGTCCTGCAGGGCAGCGTGTGGGGCTCTGCCCTCAGTGGGATGTTACAAACATTATATACCAGAAACTACGTGTGCTATATTTACAATAATGTGCCAATATCTATCATCTATGTTCAACAGCGTGTCCCCAGCCTAAACCAATAGAAAAATGCCAACACTACAGTGAAACATGGAGGGCATGAAGAAGGAGGAAAAGGACAAGACACACCCAATTTCCTCCATTTTGTCCCCTTTGAACCCCTAATCTAGAAGCCTAAAATTTTACTTTTGCACCTGTGCCACATTTAATTATTACTCTTATCAAACACTCAGAGCTTGTCATTCATCCTGTAAGATTGAAAACTCCTCTCCATGTGTTACAGTGAGCTCATGGGCACCCTGTGCCCCCCTTCCTCTGGGACCCTGTGAAGTGAAAACTCCTCTCCATGGACAGAGATCACAGCCAGTGTCTCTGGGGGCTCTGTACAGGGGGGTTCCTGACCCCTGCCAGGGTCCCAGACCTGCCAGGGCAGCCAGAGGGAAGCCCTGGATTCCCACATTTATTCTCAGGGCAAAAACCTTAGCCAAAACCCCTGGTGTTTTAAATTTTTAATGTCAGCCAGGCTGACCAGAGGAAAGCCTGGGGGTGGCATGGCAAAGTTTAAGGGATGGTGTATTAGCAAGGTCCTTTGGTCTGCCATCTCTGTGGAGTTGGGAGATGGAGATCCATATGGCAACAGAGATACAGGGGCTATTGATGTGTTAGAAACTGTGGAAGTGCCTGAGGATGGTCCCATAGGAATTAGGGTTTCTCCTTCCAAAAAGGTGATGAGATCAATATCCCAGCTGAAGTGCATCTACCCCAATTCACTGGTACCCACTGGTCAGCTGGAAAAATATGACATAACCCAAGACCTTTTCCAACCTAAGTGATTCTATAATTTTTAAGCTGTGTAGAATCTGAGCGCCTGCCATGCACCCGTGTTAAGAATATATTACTCTGTTGTTTAAGAAGCAGACTGGGATTATTCTCTGTGGAACAGTCTAAAAGCAGTGTAAGACTTAGGTGGGATATGGGATCTTGGTGGTGAGAGGTGGTGTTTACAGCAGCACCAAAAGTAAGGGTATAGACTTGATGCTGGTTTGCAGAACTGCCAGCTGAGCTGAGTATTCCTTCTTCATACTGGCAAGGAAATAAGCTATCCCTGTGATATGCTGGTCTTCTGTTAGCACAGAAGCCTGCTGCATGGGACAGGTGATGCAGATGGTGTCTTTTATCTGGATTCTGGTTTTGCAGTCTACAGGATGCTTCTTAATGTGTGTTTGTACAGAAGTGAGGACCACCCACAGTAGTAGCCAATCAGTATTTCCATCTCTCTGCTGAAGGGGATGAAATTTTGTCAAACATTTAAGCCAAGCCCAATATTCATTTGTAGCTATTTAGCATGGATGGACTAAAGCACAAATACTTCCTTGCGACCCAGCACACTTGAAAAACAGTACATATTTGTTCTGTTTATCAGTGATGGCATAAGAAGAGGTATCCTTAACTGTGGCAGCTCTAATGCTTTGCTTAACAATTGTCTTACAGAGCATTAATCCACAAAGTATGTAAGTGAAGCTGCCATGCAAGAGGATGTGGATCATGTAACAACCCTCAGCATCAGTAATGCACACCGTTATGCAACAAGCCAGGCTTGCTTACAGGTTATTTTAGTAAGGATAATCCTCCTAACATCTGTCCAGATATTAGGCATCAGTCAATAGACATGGATTGTTGCATAAACCCTAATAAACATAATGATTATATAAACATCTTATTGTGATGGATGTAGTCCTGTTTGTTGCTGGAGGTTTTATTTTATCTTGTGTTCCTCTGCATTTTTTAATTTTTCCATATGTAATGGAGAATTTCTATGCTCAGGAAGAGGCAGCAAGAATAGGAAGGAGTGGCATGCTTTGAGAGAGCTTGTTGTGTACAAGGAAGATTTTTATTAAGTTTGAGTCACTGGAGCAGGAGGGAAAGTTTTGTGAGGAAGGGAGTAAATGGCTTCAAGAAGTGTTTAAAGATTTTTCAGATAAATGAAATTTTCCAAAAGGGAAAATTAAGCAAGTTTCTTTCCCCTATGGCTTGGGCAATAGTAAAACCATAAACACTTACTGGAGAATTTTGATTGGAGAAGTGCCAGAGGTCTGGTTAGTCAGGTGTCAATCTCTGTCCTTTAGACTGCCCAGCATGCAGCCTGTTGTATAGGATTTACCTTACAGCAGGCTGGAATTGCCATTGGGAATTTTTATTTCTCTTGAACACTGAGAAAATTTTGAGCTGTATCTGTACTTTGTTTGTTTTACTATTATGAACTACACTCCACAGTGTCTTGGAGTCTGCATGTCCCTCTTGTCAGTCATAAAAGGTCTTGCTTCATATTTAGGATTTCTTTTGCTGTATCCTTGGACACTGCAGAGGAACTTGAGATCCGTCTCCTCTGCTCACCCGCATGAGAGGCCTGGTTGGAGAATACTTTATTCATTTCTGGCCTATATACTCAGGTTTCATGCTATGGAAATTGGGATGATGGGGTGAAATGAGGAGAAACTTGTGTGTATCTGGCTCTTCTCCCAGGTGGAATAAAGCCCTGGAAAGAACATATTCAAATCTGACACATGAGATGCACTTCCAGTTATGAAGATGAACCTATCTCAAACTTGACCTATTAAATCTGAAGTTGGCTTCTACTCAATAGAAGGAATGAAGGAATGAATAAGTATTAATAAATATTAATAATAAAAATAAGTATTAATGCTCAAGGTGTACTTTTATCTCTTATGTATTAATATGTTTTTTCCTTAGCATAATCAGAGCTAAATTAGTCTAAAGTCCAAAGAAAGCATGCAGCTCATTAAATTCCCCAGTAATAAGTTAAACATAAAAGGAACTATGTTCCATTTTTTCTAGTTAAATGCAATCCTCAGAAACAGAGGCTAATGCCATATATGTTTGGAAAACAGGTGGTGAGATATTTTTGCACTGGGATTATGAAGGATGGTAATGATGTAAGAGTCCCTGCAGGATAAACCTTGTTTTGATGGTTTTGTGCAATTTTTTCCTTCACCAGATCATGATTCCATATGAAAATCGAACAAGTGAGGTGATGTACAATAAAATGAACATATCGGAGCTTAGTGCCATGATTCCACAGGTTGGTTGGGGATAACTGAAATTCTTTTTTTTTAATATATGACTTGTATAATTACAACTGTCTTTAGTGTTCAGAACACTGTGTTAAAGAAGTATCATTAGGAATGTGCTCATCATTAAAGAAGTATCATTAGGAATTCTGCTCATTTACAGTGTATGTTCTTTTAAATATAGTTCCAACTTTAATGAGGATTGAAAACATATGTAGTGACAAAGTGCAATAGTTTCTAAATTTTTAATAAGTAAAGCACTGAAATCATTAGTTTTAAAGGTGTAAGTAACTTAGTTAATAAATCATCTCACTTCCATAATCTGCTTTAACCAGCCTTCTCTTTGTCATTGCAGTTTGACTGGCTGGGATACATCAAGAAGGTGATTGACACCAAACTCTATCCTGAGCTTAAAGATATAGGTCCTTCAGAAAATGTGATTGTCCGTGTTCCCCAGTACTTCAAAGATTTATTCAGGATACTAGAAAATGAAAGGAAAAAGTAAGGATCCTATGATGGCTTCACTCACTTGTAAGGGGACATCAAATGCTGGGATTTTTCTATTTTTTTTTTTTTTCATGAGTTTCAGCTAGTCTTGGAATCAAGCCTCTAGGCAAACAGTCTGTTTGGTTTTGTCTGAATAAGGATTTAGATATTACCTTGTATACAGCAGGAGAATTTTCAGTTTCAACACATTTCTTCTATGGTTAACACAGGTTGCAGTAAAGGTGCTCTTTCCAGATGCATTCAGCATCTCTTACTCTTATAGGATCTTGTATCTTGTGAAATCCTTTTCACCTGTAGAACATAGTTGTAAAATGCAGGTAACTCAAATTAAACATGGTAGATGTTCTTTGCACAGGGAAGCAAGACAGCTTTGGGCAGTAATGAAAAAGTGCCATCCCATTTGAAACATTCTTACTGATGACTTCTAGGGGATTTCTGTGATAATTTGGTCTCTGAGGCATGTTACTGAACTTGATGCTATCTCCAAATATCAGTCTGTGCTGATTGTACAATATGTCCACAACCAAATGTATATCAGGAAAAAAAGGACAAAGATTATTCTTATATTGTCTCTCTCTGGTACTAGTGATGGAATGCTTACATTAATTCATAGCATCTGTAAAAATAGCACACAAATCAAACAATTAAAAAAATAAAAATTACTGATTTGCCTACAGATCATCAAATATATTTTCTTTAAAAACATTTGGATAAGTAGCATTAGTGCTGCCAATATTAATCTATCAAAAAAAGTTTTAAAAATTATTTTGGCCGTCCCTGTTTTCTAACTCAAAGTTTGTTACATCAGTGGGTATAAATGTGTGATTTAGAGGATGCATATCTAGCAAGATAATAGGGAATTTGTTATTCCCTGCATACAAATACACTTAGATGCAAATATATTCTGTAACTACAGAGTAAATACCTGGAGACTTTTTCCATTAGTTTCTTATTCAAGGAAAATCTGAGTATTCAAGAGAATTTAAGCCAGCCTGTGTGTCTTGGCAGAAGGAGGCCGGAGTAATGACCAGAAATATTTGCAATGCCTGTCTTTAGCAAAGCTCAAGACCAGGTTTCTGACCTCACAGTTCAGGGGGAGAGGGTGAACAAAACCAGTTCCAGTATATTCACATTGTATATTTTATAGGTGTTAATGACTTAGGCGTTTTCTGCCCAGTCTTATCCTAAGAAATTTGCATCATAAAATGTTAGAAACTGCAAATACTACTAAACTGAATCCAAGCAGGTTTCAAATTCTTGTGTGTAAAATGTATCCAAACAGCCCAGGGCTGATAACCAAGATCATGTTTATCTATTAGGTGCTAATGTTCATTACTTAAAGTGTCAGAGTCTGCATCAGAGGTAACCTTGCTATCTGGCCTGAGAATATTAGGAAATCATCTCAAGGTGAACTCCTGACAATGAGGTCTCAGCGTTTCCCTGTAGGGTGAACTTTGAAAGCATCATAAGGATATTTTCTTTTAGGTAATCTCATTTGTCATTCTCCATATTGCATTTTAAAGATTTATTTAATGTAAACAACATGAATTTGCTTTGTTACTATAAATATCTAGACCTGAAATTCCTAGAAAAGCATTTCAAAATTTTAGCTTTGCTTCAGTGTTCATAATGGGAATTATTTTATCATCGTTTCAGGAGATGAGTGCCATTAGGAAAAGCAGGTGCTTTCACTAAGTTCATATTCTTTTCAGTTACAAGGCTATCCCTAAATTAAGCTTTTATTCCAGTGCCTTGTGTGTCCTTTTCCTGAATGAGCACCGTGCTAGCCTGGGTACTATTTAAAATGTCACAAAAAGATGGCTCATGTCCCAGTGTTTTACCCAGTGATCTGATAAAGTATTTAATGAAGTTTATTTCAGGTGGAGGAAAGAATGGAGTGAAAATTAAGTCAGTCTACAAAAGCACTTTGTGTTGGAGGTGGCAAGCTGTACAGACTCACAATCCTTGTATTAAAAATTTCTCCCTCAGGGAACCTGCTGAGCAATCCTGAATTGTGAAATCATTCATGAGGCAGTATTACTAGAAGAGAGCACATTGACATGGTGTAGTTTAGCAGAATTTTACTTAACTACATATAATCAAGTTGCTGTGTGGAGCTTGAAATAGGTGCAGTGGTGTCCAGAGGTCAGTCTGAAGTCCCCAGGCCAGAGCACTGCTGTGACTCCAGCCCAGGAGCTGGGCTCCCCACAGAAAGCTTCCCAAAAATCTCAGCAACCAGCCTGCAGGAGCTTCCACCAGCTTGGGGATAGCTAGCCTTAGTCATGTCAGGTGCTGAAGTAAGTCACACCTTTGTAAGGGGTCTTCAGGGATTCCTTAAACTTCTTGGAGTACTAATTCATTTTTATGGGGTTTATCCCTATTACAGGAATAAGAGATGTGTGTGTGTAGCTGTGATGTAAATGAGCAATGGCAGAGCTCCAGTACAGCTGTGCCATGTGAAGGGGGAGATAGAGCTGTGCTGGCACTAATTAGGAGCTTATATCCCTTTATCCCTTCCCTGTTACCGGTGTGCTGGTGCTTTATGGGAGCCATAAATAGGATGCTCTAAATTGCATCCTTTCTGGAGATCCTTGCAGCTGTTGAAAGAAGCAGCTTTACCATTCTCATAGCTCTCAGAATGCATAATTAGTTTAATAGCACCATATGATGGTTTGGATTGGAAGGAACCCTATAGGTTACCTTGTTTCAGAACCCCTGCCACAGGGAGGGACGCCTTGCATAGGCTGGGCTGCCCAGAGCCCCATTGTCATGACACTCTTAAGGGCAAGGGCAGCCTGGCCTTGGACACTTTCAGGGATGGGGCATCCACAGCCTCACTGGGCAACTTGTTCAGTGCCTCATCTCTCTCACAGTAAAGAGTTTCCTCCTAAGTTTCCTCCTAATAGCTGATAAATCCATCCTTGTTCAGTCTAAAGCCAGTCCCCTTTGTCTATCACTGTATGTCCTAATAAAATATCCCTCTAGCTTTCTTGTAGGCCCCTTTTCCCTTGTCTTACCTTCCCATATCTTTGCAATATGGGACTATTAATTGAGAACTCTAATTCATATAGTATATGAGGAATTTTCTTCAGAGATGGAGGGAGGCACTGGATCTCTTTTCTGGTCTTAGTCTGCATCTGAAATATCAGAGAAGTTATAATAATTTGCCTTGAACTAGTGCCTCTAGCAATAGAGGCAAAAGTTTTTTCAGTACTTATAATTTGATTCGTGACTCAATTCTGAATAGAATTTTCAAACAGATCTAAAATTTGTGAAGGATCTTTTTCTTAAAATGTCAATTAATTTTCCCACCTATCTCATATTAAATCTGTCCTCTTTAATTGCTACCACGTCTGTTGATTAAAATATTGCAAACTCACAGAATTTTACATGAGCAACCTACTTTATTCTCAGACAGGACAGAAAGTACTTTAGTAAATATTCATAAGTACTGGTATAATTTTAACTGTCCCAGCTAACGATCTCTCTACCACTTCCTTTGGGAGTGTGTGTCACAATAAGGGTCATACTGGTTAGAAGTGAGCCTACACTTTCTGCAACAGGCATTTAAAGGAAGTTAAAATAGAGTGTACTCTTCTGAAAGGTTACAGCAACAAATAGTCTGGTCTCGTCGAAAGAGCAGAGAGGATTTTTATGTTTTATTTGTGTACTGAATTTTCTCAATGTGTAGAGATTAACTTCTCTGTGCCTCAGTGAATTTATTTGTGAAACTAAGATAAAAATCACCCCAAGATCTGCACTGTAGTAACTTTATCAGCAAAAAGTGTCAGTTTTTAAGCCAGCTGAAGATAGTAGAATGATATGAAGTTTGCACAGTTAGCCCAAAATGTAAAATAATCATTTCCCAAATAAGTAAACAAATTCAGATAAATGACTATTTTGTTTCATTTTGAAAAACAAACTAAAGCACACTGGGCTTCAAACACATGACAACAAACCCCCACAACCTTTCCACCTGTTGCCCACCCCCGATTCATAACCATTCAAGTGGAACCTCCCTGTTGTTTAACACATTGTGGGTTCTGTTGTGGTTACAATCTGGAATTATTACTGTCTTATCAGACAGCTTGGTTTTAGCATGTGTCAGCCTTTTCCTTCCCAAATTAAAACAATCTCCAATTAATTATATTTCCTGCAACTATGATCCGCCTTCTTGACTTATACCTGACATAAACATTTCTGAATTCTTGTTGATATTACTGTTTTTCAATTAGTCACCTGTTGAGACCCAGCCTTTATAAATTTCAGTCTTTCATTCACTACCAGTTTGAGAGAGGTTCCCCAACTCAATATCAGGACAAGCATTGCTGTGTGAAAACAAGTACACAAAAGACAGAATTAATTTTGGTTTTGTGATTAAGTATCAAATTGTAATACATAATCGGTGTGATAGTGATTGAGTTAGGTAAGGATTTTACCTAAGGCTTTTGATTGGAAACAAATCTTTAACCTTTTAATCTGTAAGATTTGTATAAATGCTGCAGAAGTCGCTACAGCTGGATATTCTTCAATTCTGCTGAAATATCTGAGGCAGATTGTTGTGAGGTTTCTGGAGTTCAAGTCATTTACCAAAACAGTGAGAGCTGAGTGCTTTTAGGATGCTTCACTTGTCATTGAGTGAGAAGATTCCACATTGTCAGAAACTTGTTAAGGGAAAAATCTGAACTTTGTGGCAATTCTTAGGTTGAAATGAATTTTTAATGTTCCTAAACATTATCTTAAAATGGTGTGATTATTTAAACAGAGCTAACTGTTTTGGCTTTTGTGACATGTACTGTCTTATAAATGTACATTATGCATGCTAAAAATATTTTTCAGTTATGTTTTACAATTATTAGGTGCACTACAGAATATATCTGTGTACTAAAAAAGGGAATATACCCAGTGTGAGAGATGCAACAACACATCTTGAGCAGAAGGCTTTGTGTGGGTGGACTGGAGCTTGGTTAAAGGCAAAACTGAAGTTATGTCTCAAGCAAATGCTGCTGTCAAGACAGCATGCCCACAGAGTGTGTTCCCAAGCTGTTCTGATTCAGAGGAGGGAGCTGCTTGGGATGTGTCTCTGGTGAAGCTAATGGAGTGACACTGCAGCAACAGCTGCATTGCCCCACACTTATGGCAATGGGAGATTGCAGAAATGGGATTTTTAGAGATGGGGGAGCTGTTCAGACAGTCCATAACAGCACCCTCAGTTGCATAGAAACCATTTTCCTATCTACAGAGAAGTCTATAGCCTGTCAAAAATGTTATGTGTATTCCAGTGGGGAACAAATAACATTTGAATATCCTATTTTGTTTTGAAAGCTTTGAAGCAATGCCTATCCTTGAAAAATATGTCATGTATAAAAGAAGATGAGAGTAGTAAGTGTAAGCCATTGTTGAACTTCTTTTGAGACTGAGGTTGAATTGTGTATTTCAGAATGCACTTTTAGCTTATACAGTCAATGCTGAACATGGAGAGAGATAAGTCTAGGCTGGATAAATCCTCCAATCAGGTGCCCAAAGTTTTAGAAAAGGGACATGGATGCCAGATCTCCTGGGAATTTTAAACAAGCTCTTCCTTGATCGCTCAGCCTCAATTCTTATTAGATTTTTGTTACTGATACTTCTCTTTTTGGTATTTCAATTATTCATCTGACAAAATAGGAATGGTAAAACTTTAATAACTTTGTGAATAGTAGAAGTTTTCAAAGCATATTGATAACTTCTAATGAAAGATACAAATATGATATAATGAGACTGTCTATGGGATGCACTGTTATCTATTCTGTTACTATTTATGTGTCCTACTAATGAGGGGAGATAACATTCACTTTGATCTACAAAAGAAAAACTAGTTAATCTCTGGATAGAGCTTTGATGCAACTATTATTATAACACAGTTCTTGCCACTTCTAAGGAAAATGAAAGCTGCCTTTTGAAAAAAAACGTTACCTAAAAATCATGTACTTGGTGATGGACCTGTCATAAGTAATCTCTAGAAGATGGTTATCATGGGCCAATTATATATTAAATAGCTGCAATCATACAGATTCTTCTATGTAATTGGGACTTATCAATTTGGCCATCGACCATTAATTTTTAAGGTGAAGTTTCCAGCATTCAGGTCAAATGTTTGTGGAGCTATTTCTGTGAGTGCTTTGTGGTAGATCATAGGTGTTTACATGTCTGATAAAAATATGCCTGCTTTAACAGGACTCTTGCCAATTACCTGGTATGGAGGATGGTTTATTCAAGGTTATTTAACCTCAGCAGACGTTTTCAGTATCGATGGCTGGAATTTGCTCGGGTAAGTTATGCTTTCATAGCATTTACAAGGGTCCTAGTGTTTACACTGTTGGTTTCCCTTATAGTTGCTTATACCTTTGCAAAACACAAAATGTTTTCCATGCTGGATAAATTTATTGACTAAACATTTTTTTTGAAGACACACTCTAAAACAATTGACATATATATTTTTGTATTTGACACACATATTTTTGTGTTTGACATCAAGACACTTATATGACACTAAAACAAAAAAGTCTTTTAGATGATGTTAAAGAGGTTTTGAAACCTCCCCTTTAAAAAACTTAGTCTTCTTTTGCAGAAACTTGAATTAGGTTATGTGGACTGTGACATTCAGGACAAACCCTTTTGACCAAAACCTGAACTTTTTGAAAACTACTGTTTGCCCATTTGTGAATACAGCTGTACTAAAACTGAAGTCTAGCATTTCACCTTCTTGAAGCTTGCTCAAAGCTCTCCCATGCTCTAATGTCATTATATGAGTTCTAGCAAAAGGATACCCAGCCATTTCCAGAGAGAAGATGATCAGGTGCCTTCCAGCTTGGGGTTGCAGAAGAACCAGAAAACTGCTACAAGCTGTGAGAGCAGAACTAATTATCTGTTCACTAACAGGGGCATTTGTGTAAAACATATACATTTAATTAAGTGAACCTTGAATAGAAAGCCACCTTGGTAATTGTGTGGGCAGTGTGAGGGCTCCTTAAGTAAACCAAGGATGAAACTGAAACTGAATGGTACTTTGTCTTGTGTCTAAGCCACTTTGGATGGTGAACTTTGCCATTATGCAAATTGGCTGACAACAGGAGGCTGGCAAGGTGCAGGAGGTGTGGGTGTTCTGTCCTCCCTGGTGAGGCATGCAGGTGACTAATTAAAGAACCTATACTGTTTTGCTTTGAGTAATAGTGGAATAATTCTGAGTTGATCACATACCTAAAAATAAATTCCAATAGCTTGATGGAAATTGCACAGGAAAGGCAACTTCTTGTACTTCTGAGATCATATTCAAAATAGTCTTGTTAAAGATGTTATTTTCTTCATGTAAGATATGAGAAACTGGCTGTCAGAACCACAGTGACAAATTTGTACCGCATGGTTCTTGAACATCTCCAGTGAAGGAGATTCCACACTCTCTCTGGGCAATCTGTGCCAGTGTTCAGTCACTGCACAGGGAAGAAATTCTTCCTCATGTTCAGGTGGAACTTCTTGTGCCTCAATTTCTGGCTCTGGTCCTATTGCTCAGCATCACAGGAAAGAGTCTCCAAAAGGCTCCATCCTCTTGACACCTCCCCTGCAGATACTCTTAAACAGTGATGGGCTTCCCTCTCAGTTGTCTCTTCTCAAGGCTGAACAGGCTCAGCTCCCTCAGCCTTTCCTCATAAGAGAGATGTTCCAGTCTCTTCATCCTTGTTTCCCTTCACTGGATCTACTCCAGGAACTCTGTGTCTGTCTTGTCCTGAGGAGCCCAGAACTGGACACAGCACTCCAGATTCCTCTCACTGGGGCTGGGTGGAGGGGCAGGATCCCCTCCCTGACCTGCTGGCAGGGCTCTCCCTGATGCACCCCAGGATCCCGTTGACCCTCCTGGCCCCAGGGCACCGCTGGCCCATGGGCAGCTCATTGCCCACCAGGACCCCCAGGCCCTTCTCTGCAGAGCTGCTTTCCAGCAGGTCACCCCAGCCTGTGCTGGTGCCTGGGCTTGTCCTTCCCCAGTGCAGGGCCCTGCAGTTGCCTTTTCTGAATTTCAGGCCATTCCTCTGCCCATCTCTCCAGCCTGTCTCCCTTCTGAAGGGCTGCCCAGCTCTCGGGGGTATCGGCCACTCCTCCCAGCTCTGAGTCTTCAGTGAACTCGCTGAGGAGGCCTCTGCCCCTTCCTCCAAGTCACTGTTCAATAAGTTAAACAATACTGGCCACATAAATGGGTGTAGACTTCGCAGGTCAATAGAAAGGACATGAGGAATGGAATCCAAGGCATTGGACTACTCTACTGTTGAATAGATTTATCTAGTCAGAGGATGGAGAACTGGAGGCACTTTAGGATCATAAAAAGGACCCACCAACCCCTCTTCCAAGAAAGTGAATAAAACATTGAATTACTACTAAAAAGATATGACCATGAGATAAATCAGTGACCCTTAAAGGAAAAGATGCATTTATACATTCATCGTTTTGTTAATTCAGTCAGCCTCAACCATCATAAGCAGACTATTTTTTTTCACCAGATTCTCATTTTCTTTTGATGGCTTTTATACCTTGTATGTAGAAATCTTGGCATCAAGGCCTTAAAATATTTGCAAGGAGAAGGAAAAGTACATGATGAGACTTTAAAAAACTTCAGGTTTAGAAATAGGACAAACCTGCTGACTCTAGAGAAAGTGCTTTGATTATCACATCAGCAACTATCAGCAGCTCCTCTGCAGTGGCACTTTGAGACCTTGTAAATGTGCAGTGGCACCTGGGAAAGAGGTTGGTTAATTGTGTCGTGAAGCTCTGAATTGACTGGGAGGGCTTGAAACCTGCTATTTATAGGCACTGTTACTACCTGAAGTACTGTGTTTTAGAGTGGTACATTAATATTAGGACGACCATTTGAGGGAGTTCCTGTTGCTGTTGTGACATAAATATCAATAAACCATCTGTGTGATATAATCTTTTCCTCTCAGCTCTATTTTTATTGGTCTCACAGCCTGTGCTGCCTTTATGTCCTCCTTACAGTCAAGCCTCCCTCAAAATAATAATAATTATTATGTTGTAATAATAGTATGTCACAGTATAAAAGCCAGCTCTGTCTCCTGACTATTTCTATGGCTGATGCATACTCACAGCTTTGGAAGAAATTTCAAGCTCTGATGACTAATGCCATAACTCTCCTTCTTCCCCCTGCATCAGGAAAAAGCTTCATTGCAGGTTTACTCTGACCCCAGAGAGAAATTTTCTTCTCTTTTGTTCTTATCTTTTTTTGAGTGTTTTGTTGTGTTATGTATAAAGGTTGAAGAATTTGGAAAAGGAGTTGATTGTCAAATTTGGCTCTGTTTATAAAAAATGTCACCTTATTGTGTATTGGTTTGGCTAATAGGAGTTCTTTTTAGAAGCAATGTACTCTTCGCCATTGAAAATCTATTACTGCATATACAGTATTAATAAAAAGCACTTGGAAATACAATTCACTGGTGTATTTAAGTGTGAGTCATTGATTATGCTTAATTACAGACAATATGATAGGGAAAAATCAATCTTTGAACTACCAAAATATCTCACCTTCAATGGCTGAGGGTTAAGCTGCTCTGGAATTTTCCAATGAAATATTTTCCTATTGGCAAAAGACAAATCCAAACCCTTAGTTTTGCTGGACATTTAATCTTGTGCTCAAAGAAGGAGAATAATGGAAAAAAGAAAGGGCTCAGAAACTGCAAAATTGGTGCTTAAGAGGCTTTCGTAATTTGTGAGAGGCCAAAATCTCTATTCCATCTGTTCTGGTCTGATGCTGACTATACTCTACCTTTACACAGCTGTCAGGTATTAATGGCTGGACTGGAATTGTGCTTGTTCTCTATGGAAAAGCTTAAGAAGTTCCCTAAGTGGAAAAGGAACACTGAAAATAACATTGAAAATAACAAAATATTCTTAAGTCAGCACTGCTTATTGCTCACATGGACTCATCTCCTATCTTGTGTGCAGGATTTATTTGCACAAACTCCATCTTGACAAGCAATATAATGTTAGCTAGCTAAGCACCCACAGTAATAACATTCTCCCTGTAACAAACAGAAACCAAGGCAGAAAATGCTCTTGAGTTCTGTTTTGCCTTCTTCCTTGTTGTGTTGACTATTCTTGACTGTTTCTAATTTATGGTGACATCAACAGAGCCTGAAAGAATGTATTTAATACCATTCCCTTAGTAAAATATGCAAGTTGTTCTACCAACATCTTTCTACTGCAACAGAGTGACTGTTTTTTTGGGGGAGACAAACATATTGTGTTCTTGATGATTTAAACCTCTTCTCTCCTGAAAATGCTCCATTTGGGAAAGGAGCTGAAAGCAATTTTACTATTTTATACAAACTGCCGTAAAAGTAGGTGGACAGGTAAATGACAAGAAGGTGTGAACATGTACCCATCTGTGTTAGATGTCATTCGTTCATGGCAATGGAGGGCTCTGCAGGAGGTATCTCATAAGGATTAACCCAATTTTCATGAGGACAGTCTCCCTAGGCTTCTCACTCTGTCAGAGGAGAGGCAAATGTTTTCAGGAGATACCTCACAGCAGGGTTTTTCTAGAGGAAATTGTCTCTCACACAGAAAGAATACCAAGATTAGTCCCATGTAAGCACAAATTCTCTAAGCCTAGTCTCTAACTCACTGCTACCATTGTACTGTTCTGAAGTTTAAAATCTTACAAGTATTTTGTGATGTTTAAAATATTTTTCATAGCATTGGATGAAAAGAGAAATAACTGTATAGCATCATTATTGTTTCCTTTTGGTGGCCTTTTGACAAACATGCTTTGGCCTATACTGTGTGTGGATTCTCCTTAAACAGCATGATGTTATGGCCTAATACTTGCTCCTGTCAACAGGTGATCCATGGGACTACAACTTTGCTGCCTCAGTGGGATAAATGTGTGGACCTTGTAGAAAATGCCCTCCCCTATGTTGTGGGTAAGATGTTTGTGAAAGCCCATTTTCAAGAAGACAAGAAAGAGATGGTGAGTCCTCTGCAGTCTCTGTCTGGAAATTTTCAGCTAGTGGTTTCATCCTCACAAATTGCCTCTGATGTTAGACCAAAGTTTAAAAAGAAAAGATTCTTGAAATTTTTTTCATTGAATTTAAAAACCCCAAAACACTAGGAGAAAATTGAATTAATTTGAAGAAGTGTTGCCTTTCTGCCCATCTGGGCGCTGCCCCTTCTTTCCTTTCTTGTCCTTCAGACAAATAAGCAGCCAGTCCAAAACCAGGTTGAACACTGCTGATTTATGTAAATAGTTACAGCCAGGCTGTGCAGGAACAGAATGAGGGGTATTGATCAGAAATGGTTTAGTATAGATAATATAATTTATTATGGTAAAGTTTTTACTGACTAATCAAAAAACTGGTTGAGATTTCTCTGCTTTAAGATTGCTCTTTCAAAGCTGTGACTGCTTCACCCATAATCTGAGCAAGAAACATGTGACTGATGTCTGGCCCAAATTGAGGGAAGCTGAGAGTCACATAGGGAGAGTTTATATCTGTGATTCAAATCTTTTCTGCTGAACAGTGGAAGGAAATATTCTTCCATACTTTGAGTCTAGAGAGATGTTCATCCTCATTCTAAAATTTTCAATATTCAAATAATTAATTACCCTTCACAATAATTTATTACTTACTTTCAGTTCATGCTTTTCTTATAAAGTTTTCCAATATCTGCTTTTGCAGCCATTGATTTTTCAGCAGTAATCAGTTTCAAATTGACTCATTTAGTCATTGAACTTAGCTCTCCATGCAGGAGAGGCACAACCATTTAGGAAAAATGAGATGGCACCCTGTGCTGGGAGCAGCAGCTCTGTGAAAGCCCTGCACTGCCCTAGCTCTGTAACCTGAGTTTGTTTGGCTTAATCTATTTAGACTGCTTTCTCAGGGAAGGATTCCATTTTAGAAAGCACACACTTATTTGACTTGTCCAAATCTTTGTCATTTGTTTCCCTCCCAGGTTCTGCAGTTCTTTTCATATTTGCTTTCAATTGGAGTTTCCTCTCTGAGGAATCTATCTCCTTTTTCTTGATCCAGTTTGTAATGTGCTATTTGGCCATTTTGTGGCAAAAATATGCCAGGCATATGCAGTATGTTATCCTGCACAGATAAGTGGGAAGAGTAGGAGTATAAGAAATGTACACTTTATGGAGAGGATGGACACTTTCGTACTTGAATATGTGAGGAAAAATTATGAGAAGCAGATAGAGCGGTTTCTCTTGAAATGCAAGTTAATTAGAATGTTTCATAGTATGCACATTCCTTTTAGACCAAAGCTTTGGAAAATTATCAAGTCTGAATTTGCAGTGGCACCTGTAGTGAGAAATGCATATAAAATTCATAGTGTAGGCTACAAAATTCAGTCTTAAATGAAAAACCCATGGAGATAAAATTACACACAGATGAAATTCATTGCATTTCATTTAGAAGTATGCTTTTCCAGTCAATAATTTGTGGTGTTATCATTTTCATTTCATTGGTTTTCAGTTCTATTTCTCTTTCTTAAGCAGTAAGAAAGCATGTGAGTAAAGCACTCTTATTTGTACAGTTTTTTTTTTCTTATTCTTTTTTTTTTTTTTTCCCTGGCTTATGGCATATATCTGTCTATGATAAGCAAATCCTGAGTTACAGATAATATGGATTCTTTCCCCCCCATGTTTTGTGATTGATGTTTCATACCTTAGATACTTCTTTTATCAAGAAAGACATTATTTGTGTCTAAATATAGCTCTGCTTCTAACTCAGAGTGCCTGCAGTGTTTTTTACAGATACGCCTGAGCAGTTTCAGTAATAACTTTGATAGCAGGAATAGGTTTCTGCCCCTGCCCCCTGCAGCTACAGCTGCTGCATAAAGCCTAAGTATACACCAGGGCCCAGCTGCAGAGCTTGAGTTTGAACTTGTAACCTCCAAATACAAGGAGTTCACCTCATTAGTGAATGAAGTTAATTGAAGTCAGTGCTCTGCCATCAATATCTTCAAGTTACCTATTTCCTGGGATGCAGTTTACTGTGAAAGTTTACTCCTTAGTCATATTTAATGCTAGACCTGCTCCGTTCCATTTTGCCTGTAAAAATAAGAAAATGTTTTTGAAAAGGGTAGGAAAAAATGAATAATCCAAGGAACTTTGCTACATTTTTTCTGACTGCACCACAAATAAAGGACAGTTCCAGATAAAATGTTCATCTGATCCATTAATGACAATTTAGCTAAAAGTAATGTTACTTTGAGGGTTTAGTTCCTACTTATAATGACATTTCAGATCTACTAGATTTATAGAATAAGATTATACAAATCTCTGCTGCTTGACATTTTCATTATTTTTAAATGTAACATAACTGATAACACAAAGTTCCAATAAGTCTTCATCTAATGGGTATCTGTCAAGTCTTGTGCTGTCTCAACTCTGGTTTGTGCTAAAGGACTCAGACAATGGCTGGATCTCTCTCATTGCCTCACTCTCAGAGCATTCCCATGGCTATCTGTCATGGGGCTCATCTGCTGACATAAATAGACACAGCTGGTTGCATACACTTTTCTGGGCTGCCAGACAGATCCATAGGAATGAAGGCTCTTTAGACTCATATAATGCATATCTTAGCCATTATTTTCCGATTTTTTGTCATTTCAGTGTTTTCTTAGTGTGGTTACTCACTGAACAGTCCTATTATTATTATTTTTTACTTGTTTGAGATGCGGGCTTGGCTGTGCAGCGGTGTCTGAAGAAGCAGCTGAGATGAAATGGTTGTGGGTATACCCAGTTTTGCACAGGTCCAAGCTGTCACTGGTTGTCCAGGACCACAGAAGCAGTTAAGGCTGTTCAGTGGTGTGAGCTAGGGCCTCTTTCCCTGCAGTAAGTACAGGGTAGCAATGCTTCACAAATGCAGCTAAATACAGGCTAAATATTTGGATACTGCTTTGTATTCGGCTGATGATGCTGTCTTTGCCAGTATTAATAAAGCACGTCTCAGTCTCAGATAAACCAAATCAGACCACAGACTATCTCTCTGAAGGAAAGGCTTTATTTGTACAAATGCCTTGCAGCTGGCTCTTTCTGCAATGGCCAGTGATCTAGAACCTAAGGGACAGAAATCTCCCCAAAGAACTGCACATCTCTTAGTGTTTTTTATGTTTTCAAGATAGGTATTCTCACAAATATGACATGAAATGATCAGCAATCAATAAGGGTCTGTGATGCCAGAAGGGAATGAAGATGGGAAAAAACTTACCTTCAGAAGAAGTGTCTTAGTACTGGAGAAAGCAGAAATTAGCCTTCAAGAAACACAGCTGATAGCATCTGATCTGCAATCATTTGTGGTCTAAACAAATCTATCCATCCTACATACACCAAACCTTTCCTTACAATGATTCTGCCATGATATGTTTTACTGAGGATGGATTTACTAAATATTTTGCAGATGGAGGAATTGACTGAAGGAATTCGCTGGGCTTTTATTGACATGTTAGAAAAGGAGAACGACTGGATGGACACTGAAACAAAAAGGAAAGCCCATGAGAAGGTAATAAATATAAATGTTGGATAAGTAAAATCCTGTTATGATAAAAATTTGACTTGAGTAATAACAGTATGCCATGGACAGTATTTGCAGTTCCGCTTACTTACTGATCATTTTCTTTGTGAAGGGACACATTTGTATTTCTGAACACCGAGCCATCTGAGCTCCTGCTTCTCTGCTGAAGTTATTTTTGTTACCTTGTTCTTCTTTCCTTGCGTCCACCTTTCCCTGTCTGACACTGGCTGATGCAGAGTATGAGCTTATTTCAGATTTGGCTTTTCTTGACAAAGTTTTCACTTTGATTGGGATCCCAGGGACACAGCAATCTATAGACAGAAAACAGTGCTTAAACCACCTGTGACAGCCAAGGGTATTTGCCGTGAAGATGGAGGATCTAGCCTGGAAGGGGATATGAGAATAATTCAGGTTTCACAGTTTTTCCAGTGCTGTGGTGGGAAGCCTAACTTGAGATCTGTCTTTTGAGAGCGTAATGGCAATCCCAGCTGAACATCCATTTCCTGACAGAATAATGCCAGTTATGAAGTGTTATAATCAAGGATGGCACCACTGGTCCTGATTGCTTTCAGATAAAGTCATAATAAGTTGCAGAAGGCAAAGGTGAAGGCCGGAGGATGTACTCAAAACCTCCTTTTCACCCTATTCTCACATTTACAGCATGTGATGAGTGGAAAGGAAGATTGTCCAGATGCAGAGCTCTGCCCCCAGAGCAGCAATTGGAGGGGGTGTATAAAAAGACAAGTGGAGGGTGTTGTGTAGGTCTGTGTCCTTATTTATTGAGGCAATGGGATATCAGTGAATTAGTCAGCATCCTCTTTTGAATAAACTGACAGGCAAATGCAGCTGAACTGTTCCTGCTCTCTGTGCTTGAATAAAAACAGCAATGTTTTAATTTAAAAGCAAACATGAACTTCAAATTTTTTAGTAATTCTAATGAAAAGGCTGTTGAGCAATTTTATTATTGGAAAGATTTAAATTCCATATGCAGTCCATTTACATTTTATACAGCAGTGCTCTTCATATATGTGCGAATGAAATAGAGCTGCATAAATGCACCAATAAACTCTATAACAAGAGAACAATTGTAAAATGACATTTATTTCCTGCTAACCTGGTGGTAAATGGGCTGCAGTTATTACTTCTTCCTGGCTGTTACCCTTTTTTTTTGCTAGAAATACCATTCGAAATATAATGATCTGTAATTTAGATATTTGTTAAAATTGATGCAAAATAAGAACAGGAAGGTTTTCTAATTATTTCCTTAATAAAGATATTTCTATATAACAATATGCTTAGTGACTTTGTTCAAAATTTACTACCTGCCTTTCAGCAGGGAACAATACAAACATTGCCAAAACCCAATGAACCCTTAAAAAAAGCTCTCCCTTTCCTATTTTAAGGAGGATTTTCAGCAGAAGTTAGGCTAGCTCTTTGGTGGATAGAGATGGCTGTTTCCCTCTGTTGACAGATTTTGGAAGGACATTGCTCACTTTGCTCCCAATTTAGACATGTCATTGAAGGTTCTGAATTTAGTGGGGTGACTCTGGGCTGGACAATGCATGACAAACTGAATTCCATAAGCATAACAAATATAATACTACAAGCCATAGTACTATCAAATATATAGCCAATGGTTCAAAATTGTTCTCACTGAACTGAAAAACCTTTCATAGTTTTCTCACATAGGAACAAAGTCAAACTTACAAGACATGAGTGTTATGTAATGCCTTAGGTACTGCAGCAATGATTATGTGATATGGCTTACGTCTACAAGTTTAAGTTCAAATCCACAGAAATAGCTACTTGGCTGGAAGGAAAGAGCCTAGAGAGACATTTGGTAGATTTCCAGGCATGGAGTGTGTGCATGTTTATTAAATATTACTTATTGTTAATGAAAGATCTTCTGTTTGTCCTAGAACTCTTGGATGAGCATGTTTTTAATTCAAGAAATAGATTCATTACATGTAGGGTCAGATAATTCACAGGGGAAATCTAAGTTTTATAATACAGCAGAACCTTCAAAATCTGTTACACTGTTCTAATTAAATCTCATGAGCCTAGCACTTTCTGCTGCTACTTTTTAAATACTTAGGCTTTAATAAAGCAGCACAGACAAGCATGAATTTTATGAGGGAGATTGGTTGGTCAAAAAAAACCCACTATTACTTTATTATAGAGATCTATAAAAGTTGCGTTTCTTTGTCAATAAATGTCATCCACACGCTGGACTCTGCAACCAGGATGGAGAAACACTAGGTACCAAGTATAAATTGGGAGAGAGAGGGTGCAGGGCAACAGCTGGGGACTTGGAGGCTGTCTGGTTTGGAGAAAGGGGGCTGAGGAGCCACCTCTGCATCTTCCTGAAGTGGGGAAGTGGAGAGGGAGGTGCTGATCTCATCTTCCTGGGGTCCAGTGACAGCATGTGTGGGAACAGTTCAAAGCTACTTCCTCAGAAGAGGCTGGACTAGACATTAGGAAGCTTTTCTTTACCAAGTGGGTGGTCAAACACTGGAATAGACTTCCTGGAGAGGTGGTCAATGGCCCAAACCTGTGCCTAAGAAGCATTTGGACAATGCCCTTAACAATGTGCTTTAACTTTTGGTCACCCTGAGGTGGTCTAGCTGTTGGACAAGATGTTCTTCCTTCCAACTGAAATGTTCTAATTCTATTCTATCAATTAAGTAAAGAAAGGATGTTATTAGTTAGGTAAAGGATGTTTTGGTCATTTATGTTTTCATTAGTAACTGTCATATTGTCCCTTGTAGCAGTGCAGATTGGAGGTTCTGCTTTAAGTTCCATGGCAGAACTATATCCTATATGGAAATGACTGTTTCAGATATTTTGCTCATCCTCTGTATTTTTAATCACATTTTATTTTTGAAATGTTCAAATGCTCTGAAAAGAAATTAACTGCAGAAACCTGACGGTGGTTTTGTCTACTGTGCCTGCTCCATGTGATCTATTTAATTTCCTTTCGTTTTTCTTTAATTCCAGACATATTTGGGTCATTAACTATTTTTTTACTCATTTCCTGAAAGAAAAAGAGAGTCAATATGGGATCTGGGTGTCTAGACAATGAGCATAGAGAGCCTTGTGGTGATTGTCTCTTTAGATGACAACATTGTAATGTAAAGGACATGGCAGATTTGAAAGAGAATTAATTGCAAATCTCTGTGGTTCAGACATTCACTGTTTTGTGTATTTTCTTGCCTCCTGTTTTCTGACTGATGGCCACCTTTCTTTTGTGCTTGGCTGGGGCCAAATTTGTATCCCTTGCTGTCAGCCTGATGTTTTGCAATCAAAGGAACCATCGACCTCCAAAGGACTTACAAAAGACCCTCTGGTAGAAACTATTTGTGAATTTTGCTTTAGGCAGCCCGTCAGCTCTATCTAATCACTATGTCATCGACTCTTTGTGTCTGTCCTGTTGTTTTATGTTACTCAGAGGGGACACTACTAATTTGATGTTAAAAGGATCAAATCTACTACTCCATGTGACACAGGGAACAATTGTCTTGCTACCTTGATATCTGAGAATAATCTCTTTAGCTATTGTGTAGTTTGGAGTTAAGGTTTGACATTCCTTTGGTAACAAAACAATATAATGAGATAACATCTAATAATTTACCTCTCTCTCTCCCTTCCATTCCTTTCTTTCTGTGATTGAAAGACGAATTTAAGCCAGATCATCTGAAAACCAATCTTACAGAAAAGGCTTCTGGCAGGGTGAGGTGGCTCTGCCTTCAGTGCAGTTCTCACCTGGCTCTCTGGATGGAGCTCACGCTGCTTCCAAAGGAGCTCCGAGCCCGAGAGAAGCGCTCCGCTCTGAGCTGTGGTGATGTTTTCTCTCCTGTCCTTATTCTTCTGCTCTATTCTTTATTGTACCGTATTTGACTATCATCTCAAATTTGCTTCAATATGTCTGTTAACCCCCCGAATTTTCAGTGGAATGTTCTGATAAACAAATAAACACCCCAAACAGGTTTCTGTTCTGGTCCTTTTAGTCTCCCTTTTGTAAGGGAGACTAAAAGGCATTACATTTTGCCCTCATTTGTAGAGCAGAGAGATTATTCAACTGGATGCAGCCCCAAGGATGTGTCTGGCAACACTCTTCAAATGCATGTTCTGTGAATTACCCATGGCCACACCACAGCCTCTGAGCAGGACTGGAGGAGAGAAGGGACACCCTTTTGTTTCCCCTACAATGAAGGTGCAGAATGCAGCCAGCTATGGTGGCTAAATGGTATTGACAGCTTGTGTTTTGGCATGGTGAGCCACAGGGGAAAGGGGGAACCCACAACTGAAACTCCATTGATGTAACATTGATGTGTGATGAGGGCTCACTTTTTAAAAATGGTAATATATTGCTTCTGCTCTTCAAAGGATAATTCAATGGAAGATCATCACTGACATGTTAAATTATTCCCACTCCTGGGCAGGAACCATCATTTTATTAATCACTATTTTTCCTTCCTTAAATGTCCTTTGTTCTTGGGTTTAACTGAAGGCTTCAAAAAAGACGTTTTTCTTAAATTCTGCAATTCTCTTGTAAAATATCCTGTTAGGCTATGGCATAGGAATAAATTCCTATTTGGAAGTTAGTTCTTTTGCTTTGCAGCACTATTTTTAAAGCATGGATGATAAGCCAAAAAAGAGCTTGTTTTTCTTCTAGTAAGATTTTTCTGTAACATTATTAACCTCCTTAAGTCAGGGAGCACAAATCCCAAGGTCACTGTGCAATCATTTGGCTCCTGAACTTGCCTGCTGCTTTGCTTTATTTCTAAGGAAGTTGTATATGCAACATTTGTTTTCTCCACATCTCTGAGTCTGAAGGCTGAGTCAAGAGGAGCAAAACATCAGGACCTAGCTATAGGTGGCTCTCTCGGGCAGTGTTAGGTACCTTTGTTTAGCCTACAGGGCTTGGTCTGCTTCTTCAGATAACTAAAGCAAACCTCCCCAGACAACACAGTGTAATTTGGGCCAATAGCTCTTAGAAAATCAAGAGCCATCTGTACAAGCCCTGATTTTACAAAGTATAGGTACTTTAAAGGATGTGGGTGTCAGTGGGTTATCCCACTGAAGCTATTCGTTTCCCAGCCAGAACTTGCTGGCTCTGTCCAGCCCTGCAGTCACTTTTCTGAGCCACAACCCCCTTTCCCAGTTCTCCTTGGTCTGTCTCTCTCTCACATTTGGGTGATTTCACTATGGCCGTGACAGTGACACTACTCAGAGCAGAGTCCAGTGGCTGCTTCGGACAGTGGCCAGACAGTAGCAGATGTTTAGAGTGAACGCAAGGACAGGGTCAGCATGAAGGGACACATTCCCACTGTCCTTTCCTGGCCTCTGATGAACTGCAGCTCACTTGCTTCCTGAGCCAGAAGTGGTGTCTTTGTATTTATTCATATTTTCCTCCTGTGAGTTTATTAATGACTTTTTGAACCCACAACAATTTTCATCATCCACAACTTCTCAAAGTAATGAGCCCCACTGCCTCACAGTGCTCTGTGGGTAAAAAGAATGTCTTTTTGCTTGACTGAAAACCTTCTCCTATGTTATGGTAGTGTAGAAACCAGAGAATTATCATTGCATATTCTCTTTTTGTGCTCACTCTTGCTTCTGTAAAGTCTTGGCACAGCAATACATACTGGGAGAAAGGAGCCTCCTGCTTTTCTTCACATAGACTGTCCAAGACTAGATACAGCTCTGAAAAATAACATTTCATTGAGACCTGAGGGAAGCCCAGACAAAAAGGCCAGGCACCACAGCTTCAGGGGCTGAAATTAATCTTGCTTAATGCCAAGCTACTTTGCACAAAGCTGACAAATCATCCAGTCTTAAAAGTGGTTACTGGGTGTTCTGCAAAAACTAGAAATGCCTTATGAGTTTTGTGGGGTCTGTGGACCCATCCTATGAAAATGAATGCAAAAATATGACATTGGAACCAGCCCTGAGACTCAGTGCCTCTGATTTCAATGGCTATTTCTAGAATGAAAGCCAGCACAAAGCTGATAGAAAAATATTTGGTTAAAGAGAGGGATGGAGTTTCAAAACTAAAGCTTGCAAAACACATTTTGCATGTTCCTTTAAGATTACTTTATATCTTTGCTTTAAGGATGTCAGAAAACTTCACAAAATGTAAGACTGCTTCAGAGCACTCACAGAAACTGCTAAACATACTTCAGATGAGCTAAAAAAACTAGGAGGAATTTCCAAAGACTCTAATTTCAGTCATACACTTCATTCCTGTTCAAAAGCCTGTAGGGGTGACTGCTGACTTTCTAATTTACTGGTTTTACTGGAAAGTTTGATTCAGATATTCTTGAAACAACCTTCCTATTTATCAATTGGAAAGTGTACTTTTGTTGAGTGCCAACTAAACCGTAGCCATGCTTCTGCTTTGTGGAAGTCAGCATTCTGAAATTAGGGTAGTCTCGGTCTGGATGCAAAAAATTCAAGGGCCTGGTTGCATTGTAGTGGTTGCATTGCAGGGAGCAATGAGCCAATCTCCTTATAAGGTTGGAATGTGTTGAAGTTTGTAAAAGGCAGAGTCACATTTTAACTCTTTTCCAACATGTCTGCAGTTCCTTTGTGCATTATATTTATCTCTAGAGGTTTATCTTCCTGGTTTAATTCATTTTTCACAGAATCACAGCATGGCTCAGGTTGGAAGGGACCACAGTGGGGGCATCTGGTCCAATGTCCCTGTTCAATCAGGGTCACCCCAGAGCACCTGGCACAGGACTGTGCCCAGATGGTTCTTGACCATCTTCAGTGAGGGAGACTCCACAGCCTCTCCAGGCAATCTGTTCCGGTGTTTGGTCACTTCCATAGTAAAGTTCTTCCTCATGGTCAGGTGGAACTTCCTGTGCATCAGTTTCTGCCTCTTGTCCTATTGCTTGGCACCACTGAGAAGAGCCTCCAAAAGGCTTTGTCCTCTGACAGTCTCAGATACTTAGAGGCATTGATGAGGTTCCTTCTCAGTCATCCCTTTTTGAGGCTGAACAGCCCATTCCTTCTTCTACCATGTGCATGTGTCGCTATAGGACACGAGAAAGCACAACGCGAGCCACCTGCCACCTTGCAAGGCAAAAGAGAAAGTTTATTTTCTGACTCCAACTTTTATACTTCTCCAAAGGTGACAGTGGATTGGAGAGTGAATGGGCCACCTCTCCGAAGACATTGGACAAAGCACTAGTACATCAAGTCTCTCCACCCCCATGGAGGAATGCAAAACAACGCGTTATTTACAGAAACTGTGTGGGAAAGTTTCCCAATAGAATGTAAACTCAGAAGGCTTTAGAAAACTCAAGAATCAGGGCGACATGCATGGATTTATGAAAAGAAGGGGACAACTCAATAGGAAGCTGTAAGGAAAGTAGATGCTTCTCAGAAATGATGTAAGGGATTTTAAAATTTGTCCTACTTACCTAGTTTGGAATTCGGTCAGGATTTTGAGGCTGCCACTCCTACATCATTCCTGAGATAGCTGTTTGGAAAATGCCAATTTTTAGAGTAACATTTTTTCACCTGGAAGAAACAGAGAATGGTATTTTCTTTCTGGAGTAGAAGTGTTCCATGGTTTTTGCTGAATAAAAATAGTCTTCACTTTCTATCAGATTAACATCTCCTTTTTTTCATATTAGTTTTACATAAAATATTTATTTCTCATCACAAACTTTAATTTTTGAACTCTACGAATCATCTATCACATCCTGAATTTAATTTAACCTTCCCAGGAACACTGGGCCTTCCTGATCTGTAACCACAGGAGATGTTCTTCTCCATTGGCCAGAGCTTAAACTAATAGCCATGGCATGTTTGCTTATCTCTTATCTCTTGGGTTAGATTGCTGCTGTCAGCTTCTCCCTTGTTATCTGGCTGCTGCTACTGCTCACTCAGTTGTGCTGGGATGTCAGTTCCATTAATAACCTGAGCACCGTGCAAACAGATAGTGGAAAACAGGTGAAGGGAGAGGAAATTGTATTTAACCCTGATCTCACAGCTGTCATTTTTCAGAATCAGCCACGACTACATAAGACCAGAATGGGTGTGTAACATCAAAACACTTGTGACAAATCTCATGCTTGAAATAGGAGGGAGACAGATGGACAGACACCTGCAGATGCTCAGGGACCAGGGTGAATCTGAAGGTTTTATGGCAGAAATGCAACATGGAAACATTGTTATGTTAAATGACAGAGTAATTCTTCCAAAGAGCTAGACATCTTCCACCACCTCTGAAAGTCTTGGATTGTTTCAGCGTTAACTTTCACTATCTTTGTTGTTTTAACAAATAAACCTGTCTCCTGTAGAGGTACAATTACAAAGTGTAGTCCCCCAGCTTAGCAGTAGCAGATACTGAGGTGCAGGAGAGCCCTTCTCTGTGTGGAGGAGTTTACAAGGGCATGCCCAGGTATGTGCTTGGCATTGCCTCTCTCTGCAATGAAAGTGCATTTCCTGGCTGTGGTGATCTCCATGTGCTGTAAATGCTCACTGAGGAGAGCTGCTGCTGGCTGGGACTGAGTGAGGAGTTCAGCAGGGCAGGGCGGGGGCTGGGACCCCACCATGGACCCTCAGTCTGGGCACTGAGCTGTCCACAACCAGGAGCATGAACCAGCAGCACTTCATCTTGCTCAGATGTTGTACCAGTCACTGGGGTCTGAAAGTTGTGAGATTTTAAATGGCTTCAGGTACTGGTATTGCTGGAGTTTACCCATAAAGGAACTATGTCACAAGCAGCTCATCAGGCTGAGGAATTTGTTCCTTTTGTGGCCTTTTAGAAGCCAGGATGCTCTGGCTAAGAGTAAAATCTTCCTCAGCTGCCAAAATTTGTGAGGGAGCTGTGAAGCGTCTTGTGCTCAGTTTTCTGCATATGGGACGAGCTTCATCAATGTTAAAATAACTAGATATAATTCATTTAAAACTAAAAATATGTAAAGGTTTGGAATAGAGAGGAATTTGATCTTGAGTAGAGAGTAGAGCATTTTCTGAATATTTTTTTTCTGTGTTCTGCAGCCTATGTATTTGATTATGTACATATCTGCTTTTCCCCCCATATATTACAAGGCATGGACAACTGAGAGTGACAGACACGCTTACTGGAACAGTGCTGGTCAGGTCCCTGTTCAAGCAAAAGGAATTCCTCCTCAGATAAAACATCCAAGTCATGAGTACTACTGGTGTTTAAGTTCTCAGTCACTATTTCAGTTTGAGTAGTGTTAAAAGGGGTCTCTACCATGTCTGGTATCAGTTGCATCAAGACTGCAGCTGAAGTTCACTTGTGAAATGAGAAATGAAAAGGGAATTTTTCACATGCTATTCTTTATTTAAAAAAAAAAGTGCTCAGCACCTTTGCTTAACCTTGAAAATGTTAAATGAATGTAAAGTGATGCAAGCAGAGACTAAGGTCAGAAGTTGTCCCTTTCTGGAACAGGTTATTCAGAGTTTTGCATAAAACTGGAGAAGAAATGCTGTGGTAAATAAATCCCATACAGTTATGATGGGGAGAGAGCTTCCTCACCCTTTCCTGATCTCTGAGCCTGCCCCTCTCTCAGTGTCCCGTGCCAGAGATCTCAGTACAGTTTTTTGGGTCCCTGAGGACTTTTATTTTGCTAGCACAGTGGGTTTTATTAAGCCTGCTGCTTGTCTAGAGCTAAAACAAAACAGCAGAAAATATTTTTTGATCAAGGTGGGTGTGTTTCTAGCAAGAAGTGGCATGAACATGGGAGTGTGGGTCAACTCGCGAGGTGTTCTGGGGGTTAGCAGTGAAGGAGTGAAGGAGTTCCTTCACTTCCAGGAAGGAGCTTCTATAGAAAGCTGAATATAATAATTTCTGCAGCTCGCCAATGTGGCAAAGACCAACCAAAGGTGGCTTTTTTTTTTTTTTTTTTTTTTTTTTTTTTTTTTTTTGCTATTACAAATCCTTTGGATTCTGGTGCAAAATTGTATCAGTGAAGATATTTAAGTTAATTTCAAAACACAAAGAGAATTTGGAGTTGGGGGAGTATGTTTGGTTGTTTGGTTTTCAGAGATAACTACATTAGAAAGCATGGAACGTTGCCTGAAAAATAAAGGCAGGAAGAGTATGGATTTTTACATACTCCTAAGAGTCCAAGCCTAGCTTGGCGTGAATCCTATCAAAGGCAGTATAGCAGCACACACCATGGGGTGTGATAGATACATCTGTATCTATATATCTATATATCTATATCTATATATATCATCTACATCTATATAATCTATATAAATATCATCTATATCAATATCAATATCTAACTATAGATCAACATGATACTAATGATAGTCTGTGTCTTCAGAGCACAACACTTTAGTTTCTGGCTTGTTTGAAGTGCCGCTGGAGGAGCTCCCAGCTCTCCACACACCCTGGTGCAGTCGTGCCCCAGGTGATCCACAGGTGTGCAGAGAGGAGTCCAGCACAGGACCCCCACGCTGGAGCTGACCTGTCACTGCTGGTGTGGTGCCACAGCTAAGGCATTTTGCATATCTGGGCATCATCCTTTCTTCTGGTCCATGGGCATCATTCCAGCTCCACTGAGAATCCAAAGACCCTTAAATCTCACCCAGGTGCTTTGGACAGGAATAGTTAGCAGTTACACACATCCTGTGCCAGGAACTCAGTTGTGCTGATCTGCAGTGTAAGTGCACTTGTATCTTCAAAGATGAAAATATCTTCTGTGTGCCACAAAGAGAGGTATTGCAGATATGATGCTCTGTTTGTGAAAGACAGAATATATGTCTCTCACATATAATATTCTGTTTATAACATAATGGAGTCATGCTAATTGTCATTACAGAGGTTGCAAATGGAAAATGGAATTAAAATAAATTGCACAAAGAATTGTTCTTCTAAGCAAAATTAAAGCAAAGCTGGAAGCAGAATGCGTTTCTGGTTGAAGGAGAAAATATGACTAGGTCTATTAATGGTAGTGCTGCACTGAACTGAGGAGTTGTGCTTATGAAAATATCACAGTCAATTAGTATGTTTATATAAGACTGAAATAAAGATGCTAATTTCACACTTTCTCTGACTTAATCCAGTTCTATTGCTAAAAAAAAGAATAATTTCATGTGGGATTCATTTAAACTGAAAGGTTAATTCTAGTGAAACTTTCGTCACAGTGCTTGAACCAATGACTGAATCTTTGTATTCCAGAGAGCCAGAATGGATTTAGAACAGAAAAGAGTAGCACTGATGTACATTGTTGCTTTTTCTGACTCTTTTGTCCATGGTAGTCCTACTAAACTTTTAGATGCTTTAAACTTTATGGTGTGTAATAATAATATTGTCTTGCTGAATAGTAGTTATTAAGCCTGAACATATAATCTCAATGAACAGTTGTTTTAGGAATTGCTGTGTCCCTTTCCCTCTCTGTTTCCTAGGATTATAAGGTATGGTATGGTATTTTTAAGTGTACTAAATAGTATTGCCATGCCAGCAAGTTTTGTCTGAGTGAGGCTTTGGTTTCAAAAGATCATTCAGAGGAGGAGGTAACTATTGTACCACATAACCCTTCTCCACTTTGTCACATCATGTGTCCCCAGCACTTGGCTTGTAAAAGCTCCAGAATTTGTTGGGTCTCTCCATGTAGTAAGTGATTCAGCCCAGTGATCTGGCAGAAAATTAGCTGGGGAAAACCTTGGTTAAAACTCCACCTTGTTATTGGTGTATTAAGTGGTCCCACAGAAAGATGTGTTGAGGAGCTGAGGCAGCCTTTGGAGGCAGGGGGTGCAGGCAGCATGAGAAGAACTATGGACGGAGCTGAGAGGAGTGGGGGAGAAGGACAAGGACTAGGACTTTTTTTCCATTTGGCAGCACAAAGTTGTTAAATGGACTCAGCTACGTTTTAAACCATAATGTGTATTTAAGTGAAAGCAATTTTATGTGTACATGAGAGTCATTATTCACACAAGTCACTTGATTATTTATTTTACTTTTTCGTTGACCTTGGCCTCAAGCTATTACCAAGAGGCAATAATAGCTGTGATTCTGTCTTCCTTATTTTAGCAATTATTTTAGAGCTTTCAAAACAATTCTTGTAATACAGAGGGGATGGTTATGGTGCAGTGTGAAATGGTGGAATGTGAATTATTATTAAATGAAACACCAGTTCTTGAAAAGTCTACACAGCTACTATTACTGTGACAAAACGAGGACAGTTATGCAACAAAAATAGAACAGTTAAGCCAAGTTCTAAAAATAAATAATGACAATCTGTATTCTTGAGTATGGATTAGACAGTTCACTGCAGATCAAGTACTGTTAAAAATTGTCACTTCAGACCAAGTGCTCCTGTTTAAGTTGCCACTTCCCTTTCCATTGTAGTTGACAATGTGAAAATCCCTGATATTTCATTTTCCCACAAAAGAAATACTGTGCATAATTAGGGTGAGCTCAATCCATCTCTCACTCAAGTCAGTAGTGATTTCCTACTGACATCTGTAGGATTGGGCTTTAGTCCTGTGATGGAACTTTCCTGTGTTTTGCCAAGATCCATCATTCTATTTTTCTAGTTTTTCCATATGTAAACCCTAGATAGATGCAGTGATATTTATGCAGCAGTTTTACCAGATGGCTCTTGAATCATCTGTTCTCAATGAAAAATGAAAAGACTGGGCGCAAATATAAAGGCTGAATTAATCTTTGTAATTAAATGGAACATTACTTTGCCATGAATTATTTTAGCTTTCACAATGTATTTCATGCTAATTTTTCAGTGAACTGTAATTGTATTAATTTTTTATATATTTAGAAGCTTAAAAATGATCTTCACAAAGTTATTGAGCCAAGTTAATATACAGAAGATCTCTGTCAGACTCATAAAACTTTGTCATGAGGTATATGTTTTGTTTTGTTTTCTCTTTACAGTAAGTAAAATGTGTCAGTACTTACTGTAGTATAATATCCAAGTCATACTCTGAGAGACAAAAAGGCTCTCAGGATGCTCACATGCTTGGTTGTCAAGTGAGAATTTGAATAGGCTGGAACCTGGGCTGCTTTGGAGCGCTGAGACACGTGTGCATTCCCACGTTGGCAGGGTGCTAAGCAGAGAGTGAAAGCTCGTTTATTATTTTGCCCATGTAGTAAACTGACTTGCAATGCTCTCCCTGTGACAGAAAGACACTGGTGGGAAAATCCTGGCTGTGTTGAAGCAGTGGGGGAACTTCCATGCACAAGGAGTGGTGGAAGTAGTCCCACTCTGGCTCCTCTGCCCCAGAGCCTGCTCTCTCTGGCTGCTGGGATAGAAAAGAGTCGTCATGACTGACCCTAAAGCACCCTGCAGAAATGAGCTTCCTTAATTTACCCAACACCCAGGCTGAGTGCTTAATGGTGCCTGGGGGAAATACCCCAGCTCCTCTTTTCTTCCTGCACACATGGCTGTTTAATATGCAAATTAGAGAAAGGAGTTAAATGAGCCTTTAAACCATAAAAAGTTGTGCATGGTGGATTTATGGCGGATTCATGTGCAATTGCCACATGGCTGGTTCCTGTACATTTGTCACATTTCATTTGACTCCCTGTGCTTGCCTCCTGGAAGGCTGGTCTCTTATACATACTTTTAATCCTATCAAGGGGAAAATAATGACATCATTATCAAAAAGTAAGCAAGCTGTAGAAGAGTTTTCCACTTCCTTGTGCTATATTAATAAGGAATCTCCCAACTGCTGTTAAATATTACACAAGTGAACAGAAAAATAGGCACAGAAACAAGACTTCCAACATGCAAATTTAGAAACCTGTTCCCAATATGATACTTTCTAACTTGTCAGCTGTGTAAATAAATTGTGCCATGTGCTGGGCTCAGCTGAAAAGGTTTGCACCTGATGCAAAGTTTCTAGGAAGAATCCCAGTCAGAGGGATTCTATAGGACTTCAGAAGGCCTCCTATGTTCTCTCCTGATGTTTGCTTTGGGTATAGGAAACAGTTTACCTAACCAGGAGCCAAACAACCTTTGCTGTCAGCTTTGTCTGTCTTATTTGCTCAGATCTCTAAACCACACATATTGTGGTAATGCATTTTAAGTAACAAATGCAATAATATAACATTTACCTCTTTATCTATATGTCTGTCTGTCTATCTATCTAATCTCACAAAATACACATAGCTTTAGACATTGACAAAGCATTGAAGTACTAAAAGCAGCATTACCTTTTGAGGTTGCTTTCAAAAATCTCAAGACACACTCTGTTATTTATTAGGGTTTTATATAGCCTTTATAAAATGGTCTCATAGTGTCCGACTATTTTATTTTCACGCTTAGAAATCTCAATCTCACAACGTCAATTGTGAAAGTCACAAAGCAAATAATGAACTCATGCAGAACATTTGAGAAACACCTGATTTCTTTAAGTGGCTGACTTAGCAGAAATGGAAACTGTTGGGTTTTGCTTTTTCCTTTTCCAAAGCTAGTTTTAAGTAGTATTTAAACATGGGAAATGGTAAATGAAATTTTCTGATTCCTTGCAAAGTTCAGTTGGTTAGACCTGACAACACCACCAGGAAAAATTCAGACACTCTAGATCACATACAAACTTGCAGATGACTTGTGCTCCCTTCCTGGCTTTTTGCTCTCCCTCCCTACCACAGCATTTAAAATATCATAAAAAACTACTGAACCTTCTGGCAAAGTGAGGAAACATTCTGTTGAGAGTTAATTTGGCTCATTTCATATTTTCCATTCAGCATTTTTCTTCCATTGATTTTTTTATTGCTAGAGCAATTTGCATGACAATGGGATCTTTCTTGCTAAAGAGATCGTCTTCTCCTGCTGCTAATTTTCTACCTGAAGTTGTTATCTTCTGTTTGTGACACCTTAATTATCTCAACCACAATTAATTGTAATGTCACAAATGGAGGATTATGACTTCGGGTTGGAAGTGAGATTGAGAAATTGAAGAAGTTTGAAGTAGAAAAGAGGCCTTTCTTCTTGAAAAATAAAAGAGGAGACAGAATGACTTTGGTTAAATGGAGGCAATCCTCCATCACCTTTCTCCTTAAAGCTGAGGAACAGCTGGTTTTATGTCTTGCTGTATACAAGGTCATGCTGTATTGAGATACTGTGAAGTAGGAGAAGGGGAAAGGATATGTGGAGAAAAGGGAATCTTCCCTTAAGCAGTCAGTCCCTGCAGCAAGGAAAGTTGTTGGACACTGAAAAGGTGCAGGCCCTGCTCACAGAGAGCAGAGTGCAGTATTCGTACGGTTGTACTTGGTTTAAAGGCCAATTATTTATCACTTTTCATATCTTGCTATATTCATTTTGGTTTTGACATCGGAAGCTGATGACCATGGAGGCACATTTTTTGAGGGATAGAGGGAGTTCCAAAGACCTTTGGAGAAATTGTATTCACCATTATGAAAACATAAAAAAAATCACACTTTTGTGCTAACCTAATCCATCATAGCTGTAATTTATCCTATGTACTTGTCCCATTTCACTTCTTGGTATGTCATCTTATCTTTTTGTGTACTTCTGCTCTTCTTCTGGAAACTTGTTTCCACAGAGATTCTAGGTGTCTGAGTGGCCTGCTGGTGTTTTTGTGAGGACATTACCAAGGCTGTTTATAAACTCACACCATGATTTACAAAGTGGGAATACTCATCTACAGCTACTTCACACTGGACTGTTTGTGCAGGTTGTGCATAAATGCTGGGACCAAGTCACATCTGAAAGAGGATTAATGAAAATTGAAGTGTCTTATTTTAACACCTCTATTGTCAGTAGGGAAAGAGCAAAGACTGCAAATAAAGGAGGGAAACTGGAGAACTACACACAGATCAGTCCTGTGGTTTTTGGAATGTACAGTGTCCTTCAGAAAAGGACCCATCCCCAGGTGCAAATAGAAGTGGCCCTCAGTGGAAACACCAGGCTGCACTTGCTGGGATCAAGGTTGATTCACATCTGTGCATCAAATCTATTTTAGCAGCTGGATGTGCATCAGCTACCGTGCCACAGAGAAACAGTCCATTTCCTGATGTCCTTTGGAAAACATTGTACAAACAGGCATTGGACCATCTGATTAACACAAAACCCTGTAGGGAAAATCAGCTGTTAAGGTTTTGCACTCAGACACGTTGCTGTAAGTACGCAAGAGCTCTGCAGGCAGTGACAGACCCACTGTGATAATCTGACAACAGAATCTGGACCCTCTGCGTTGTGATGCCAAGCTCATTTGTGGCACCAAGTTTACCTTGTAGCCAGGTTTTTTTGAAGTTACATTAGGATGGCTCCAGGGAAGCATAATAATACCAAGTGGAAACTGAGCAAGAAAGAGAAAAAGCTGTATGCTGAGAAGTGGTTTTATCTGTCAAAACTTTTTTTCTCTCTTTTTTTTTTTTCAAAGGCAAAAGCAGTTATGGCGAAAGTTGGTTACCCCCAGTTTATAATGAATGACACATATATTAATGAAGACATCAAAACAGTAAGTGTCAGGCTTGCACCTTTATTGATTTATTGCAGCCATTCTTTGCTCTGTTTTGCTGCTGTCTAAAGTCAAAGCTAGTCTTCTGTTTGGCATGTACCTGGACTTGTGTTTGCCTGGTTATTTTTATTTTATTTTTGAAGTGTGGTAGCTCTAAATTTTTTCTAAATAGTCAGTGCTGTTGTATCTAAGTGAGATCATGAGACCTGCTGGGAGTAAAATCTGCCTGGGTGCAAAGAACTTTCCTGCTATTAAGCATTTTAAAGGTTAAACACACAATGTAATAATTTTGCATTTAGTTATAAAAATGAGACAAACTAAAAGCATTTTTTCTCAAAACAATGATTTTCAAAAAGCCTAATGCATTTAACCTCAGAATATCACAATTTAGGATGCAGTACATAAGTTCTTCTCATCTTTCCAGGCTATGAATTTAATTTACAATTGATGCTTATAATCATTCCAAGAGGTCCTAACCAATGTATTGGCCTATTGTGCTGCCTGCTGGACAAAGATACTGTGGGGGGACTCCTTCCTGCCCCAGTACCTGTTCAGCCAAACTAAGGCAGGAAGGCAAATGATGACGATGATGAATAATAATAATAATAATAATAATAATAATAATAATAATAATAATAATAATAATAATAATAATAATAATAATAATAATAATAATAATTTTACTATTTTCCAACTGTGGCATGCATTTGATGATTTGCATTGCTGAAAGTCACAGGCAAACTAGAAACACAAGTTCAATCCTGAAGCACTAAAATAAAAGAGCAATCATCATCTTTACCAGAGCACATGAACAAACACTAAATAGAGGCATCATTTATTGAGAGAACCAACTCCACCAGCCTAGTCCTTGTCCAGGGAAGCTGTAGGGTGAGATGATGCAGTGAAAGCAGTGTAATGAGACAGAGTATGTGACCAGCACTGTCACTCAGTGTATGGCATTATTTGCTCTGATAAGTGGCAATGGCTGGTAAAAAATACTTGTTAATCATGCCTGCAAAACAGTAGTTTACATCTGAAGAGCAACTTCCTCACAAATCCTAGAATTGTTTTAAACTGATGACAGGGATTTATAACTTATTAGCGTCCCTCTTCCTTGCCTGTTTAGTTTTGTGTGTGTGAATGCTGTTAGATTTGGAAACTTATGGAAGCATGGAGCCCTATGGCTGTAAATATTTAATGTGGTAGAACTCTCAGAAGGCACAGAATATGAAGTATTTTTTATAAAATGTAAAGCAAGCTGAAAAAGGGGACTTCATTACACTGTTGGAAGTGGTTTTAAAATGCACTTTTAAAAATAAAAGTAAGCCTACTTCCTCCTGGGAAAGAGGCTGTCTTAATAATAACCATAGCAATGTGCAGTCTGCAATCCATTGTGGGGTGCTTATGATTCCTTCAGCAGCACTCTGCACAATGAAGAGTTTTCCCAGTGTTCCAGACCCTTGTGCAGATCTGTACAACCATGTTTTTTTTTAAGTAAGCTCATAAAATATTTATTCTGCCTACCAAGTGTGAAAATTTTACTTGCTTTGATAATCGCAAAAAAATATTAGGTAATTATCTCATATAAAAGTTCTGCTTGTTTTATGTCAGCTTTTGTTTCTTTGGACATGCTTTACAAATGTCTGTGCTTTCTCGGTACAGCTGAAGTTTACAGAAAGTGATTTTTTTGGCAATGTATTGCAAACTCGCAAATACGCAGCCCAATCTGATTTCTACTGGCTTAGAAAAGAAGTTCCAAAAACAGAGTGAGTAGAAAAAAGGCAAATTTACATAATCTTCTAACAATATTTTAACTTATTTAATTTATATATTAAATACTGTTATATATTAAGTTTTAATAGAATTATGTCAACAGCAATATGTTATGCCACAAAAAGCCTATGGGCAAACTCCCATTATTCAGAAACTCCTGTGAATTTTTTTTTTTTTTTTGTAAGGTATCCCTGTTCATATGCAGAGTAGTCACATGCTTGAAGCTTAAATTTAATGAAAAAAGGGTAATTGAATTGCAATTAAAAATGGATTATGTCTCTTGGTCACAGAGTTTGAAATGGTACAGTGGAGATTTATGAAATAAATTCTGTAGGAATTAAATCATAGTAAGAGATAATGTTATTATTAGTAATACAATTCAGCATTGTTAGTTACCTGCTGTTGATAGCAATGATACAGAATGCAACATAATTTAATCTACCTATGTTATTTTTATTTATTTGTAAACATGAGAGTGCAGATTGTGTCACAAACTGTCATAAAATACATGAGAGAATCATTCTATTTTCTTACTGGTGGGTAATCAAATCCTTAAAATGTAAATTAAAACCTAAGGAGAACTTAATTAGTCTAATCATGCTACTTAAAAATGACTTCTTCTACACACAGACTTTGAAATCAGTGCCAGTGCTTAGCTCCAGTGCTTTTATTTCCTTAGGACTCCAGAAACCCTACTCAAACTGAGCCATAGCTTGTTCTGGGGGTGCCTCCGTGCTGTCTGTGAGGCAGGGGGACAAACAAAGGTTGCTCATGGTTGGAGTGTTTTCATTTGCCCCCCTGTGTTCGAGGCATCATTTATAGCTTAGATTTAATTGTGAATTTTACCTTCTGATCACAGCTTTCTCTGCTGGTGCTCTGGTCAACCCTGGGGTATGATTTTAGGGATTTTCCTGGATGTCAGGACTAGACCCTGATGGTGTATTCTCTTCAGGGTAAGAGTTCCAAGAGAGCAGTGAAACAGCGCTGGCCTCTCTACAGCAATGGCCAGCCCTGGGGCAGCCAGCACTGGTGCAGAACCTGTAGACTCCTGGCAAAAGGAGAGCTGGGAAAAATGGGAAAGCTCCCAAAAATGGGAAAGCTCCCCTGTCAGGAAATCAAGTGGGAGGCAGCCCCTGACTGCAGGGCTATAGTCTGAGGGCTGTCCCATGGCTGTGCTTCAAAAATGAAAGTGTTATCCAATGGCCCTATACGAGATGGAACACTTCTCATGCCTGTCTTTACCTTCTTATTCCCAGGACTACATAACAGCCAACCCCTCACCACCTTTGTAGCTCTTTTCTTGTCACCCCTCAGCACATTCAGGCCTGGGGGATGCCAGTTGGATTTCTGGTCCCTTCCCTTTGTTAGCACAGCTATTTGCTCTGCCTTCTGCAGGGATGGAGGAAATCTTCACCTGAGCCCCAGCAGGGAGGGATAATCAGGGCTCCTGCTGGGATATTATTCTGTCTCTGCAACTGTGCAGTGGTAGAAAAGGGCTCTGAAAGTGGTATCACTCTGCCTGCTGAGGGACACCAAGGCACAGTCATTGCTGCCACCAGTAATTTTTTTTAAATTTATTTAAATAAACCAATAACTCTCATTCACCAGTCTAAGGCATGTCAAACCTGGCCTCGAAAATATCAGCCACTTTTTAGCTACTTCCAACTTTTAAATCATCATACTCCACTTCTTTCTGATGCTTTTGCCTTCTTTTTCTTTCTCTCATTTTTGTGTTTTTGTTTTTTAAACTTTTACATTTCATATAACTCCACAGAATTTTTGATGAGGCTTGATGTTATGTTAATTACTAATTACCCTTGGGTTTTTGTTTCTATTTGCTTCATTTCTTCTTTTGCCTAGTTTAGTAGCTTTTAGCATAACATTTATATTTTGAGATAGATATTATAAGATCACCAAAGCTGTGGACCAAAAGGAGAAATAAGAAAATTAGTATTTAAGGAAATAAAATAAAAGTTGCTAAAATAATATTACATCCAAGATGTAAAACACTATATTCTTTTAGCAAACGGTCCATTTTTCTCAATAATTATTTCAAACTGAAATCACTTTCCTCAGCTAAATGTGAAATTAAAATGATATTTCAATTGAAGCACCAGGGAAAGACCATCAGGGGATGGACAGAGAAGATGGGAGATACAAGACAAAGCAGTTGGATAAAACAAGGGGGAATATGGATAACAAAGTGGAAAAGAATTGTTTTGGAAATCCAACAGTTTTTAATTAAAAAAAAAAAAGAAAAGAAAAAAAAAAACAAAATCAGGAGTAATTATCAAAAATCTTTATTCTTTCTTGTGTTCCCTGCATCCCTGGCATTTATCTGCCTGGCAGGAGAAGGGAGCATGGAGGAACTCAGATGAGCTCCTCACTGCTCAGGGCATGGGTGAGGGGCCACACCCGGCCCCACTGGTGCCAGAGAGCTGTGACAAGGCACAGGGGTGCTGGAGCTGCCTCTTCTGCCAGTCCTGGGGCCAGGCTCACCTGAGGACACCACAGCTCTGCGAGGTGTCACTTGTGCTCAACACCAGCCTTGGGTGCCAGCTGCAGCCTCACAGCTGGCTGGGGAGGTGACTGTCACTGTCACAGCTGGCTCTAGCCAACAAGAAAAAAAGTGCTCAGGTATCAGCAGAGAGAAAAATGAAAGGGATTTGTGCAGGAGTTGAGGAATGTGGTGCACACACCAGCACAGGTTAGGCTGAGAGGGCTCAGTGGAGAGTCTGTAAGCAGCAGTGTGGGAGGATGGGCACCAGGTGTGAAGATAATCATTGTGAGCCAGGTGAGATAGAGCTGGAGCAGAGGAAAGTGAAAGGCAGTACAGGGGGAAGTGATGGCCATGGGGAAGGGAAAAATTAAGGAGAGTCAGGGTTTTAGTTGCATTTGCCTATCCATCCATGGAGTCATACACATTCATACATAGAAATTTAAGTGTGTGTGTATACAAACACGTGCCTGCACCTTTTAATCAGAGATAGGATCTATCCTTCTTGACACTGATATTATACTTGCATTTAACAAAGCATCAGAGGACCTCTTGGCCACACCACTTCATTATTATTCATCTTTCTCCTTTGAAGTCAGCATATAATTTAAGATTTTTAGACCTGGCCAAATTTGTCTCCACTTTTCACTAGACTTTCAGAGCTGGGGATGTAGATGTCTGGTATCCTGATAAGAGGATACAAAGGAAGGATGCTATGAGAGGATTCTGGGGTCTCCTCCAGAACCTATCCCTTTTTTCTGGAGCACACACTATTGTGTGTTAGCCCTGGCTCTTGGTTTGTCACAAGGAAGGGTAGCTCTGAGAGGTTCTGGGATACCTCTAAGGATGGTGTAAAAGCTCCTTCTGCCAAAAAGGTAAAAGCAGCCATCAAAAACACTGGGCAGGCTGTTGTCTGTTGGAGAGACACTGCCGGAAATTGTGTGGCTGGGACCTGCCCTGGAGAGGAGAGGCTGGAAAGGAACCTCCTGGAGCCTTTGCCTGGTCTTTGAACCTCTTTTTAAGCAGCAAATGTGGCGCTGAAGGCTGGACCCAGCCTTGTCATTCTAGTTCCTTGCCTATTCCGAAGGGAGGTGGATGGTAACCTGGCCTGGGTCAATAATCTGCTTCTGCATGGGAAAATATATAAAAGAAACTAACAAGGAGAAGAGAAAATACTATTTTGAAAGACACTTTGAAGGTTGCCTCTCATTCAGAAATTTTTGGTTTTAGTGTTTTCTTTGGAAGACATTTTCCAGCTTCCAGAAACTTTGTATGGCTTTTCCCTTCTAACCAGCTTGTCTTTGTACATTTAGAAGTTCATTTGCTATGTTTATATGATTATTTATTTTTATTTCTTACTTTGAATGTTGACCAGCAAACCAAATGATTTCTTCCAACTCAAAAAGCTGAGAATCAATTTGCAAATTCAATTTATGCTTTACAGAGAAGTAAATAAACAAATAAGATTTTTCTGTATTGTTAATATTTCCAACCATCCCTGTTCATGAATGGCAATGTAGCACACTATACTCTTAACACAGAAAGAAAATACCAGAGGAAATTTCAGCCTCAAGAACACAGACTAAGGGAGTTTCTGCCCCACTTACTATCCCACTGTATGTTTCAAATTTTATTTCTACAAGAGAAATCTCAACCTTACAATTGTCAACTCTGCAGAATTAAATTTTGACTTCTGCAGTACCAGATAGGTAACACTATATCATTCAAAACTATCCCTTTTTCACAAACTTATAGCAAATGAAAACAGTGTAAACAGTTCTAGAATTTTTATTTATTTACTTTGTAATTAATATGAGTTTGGAAATTGTAATGTCTTCATTTTTTTCTATCCTTCTGTAGATAAAGCACACAGAAATTGTCACCAGACCTAGATTAAATTCTCAGGGACTCTGACTTCAAACAGGAATGGGAGAGTTATTTCTAAATTTGCTTCACCTTAAAATTTAACAGTAACAGCTATTTATTACACACCTTCATGTTGTAATTTGTTCTGTTATTAGTTAAGAACTGTCCCTGAAGGTTCAGTCATTTCAAGGAGCTCACTTGCATGAGCTCACTTGAAAGAGCATGGCAGATGAGAAGTGAAGTTGTTCTGCTAGCCTGGATGGAAGCAGTGTTGGTTATTGCTACTCTTTTGTGGAAAAAAGATTTCCTAAATATTTTTGAGAGGGCTCAGAATGGTACAACAAAATGCTGTTTTTGTTAACTCTGCTTGTTACTAGAGAACGCTTAATACAATACTCTGCTTGTTACTAGAGAACTCTTATTCTTCCTGACTCCTAAGTGCCCTCTTCCTAACTGCTTAAAAGCATGATGAATTCCATACAGGGTCATTATTGAGGCCTTGTTATGGAGGAGCAATTTGGAAAGAACTGAGTCCAGTTTTACAGCGGGAAAATCAAGGCTGCTCTCAGCCTTGGGCTCATGCTAAGCTCAGCAAACAGGATGGGCTTTGCAACTCTGGGGGCAGATCATGAGAAAAGCAGCAGCCTCGGGACAGGGATGCTGTGATAGATCTTCTCCTGCAAGGTCCAAGTCCATGAGTTCATGGCTATGAAAGTATGGCCAGAGGATGATGTGAAGTCCTCCCTCAGTAAATGTGGACCAAATGTTGCCAGCATTCAGTGCTGCTCTTGGGCAGAGTGAGGTGCTCCTGTGGGGACAAGTGCCTGCATCACCAGCTCCTCACCCAGGAAAACAAGTGCAAACTTGTGCTGTTAGAGAGCTGTCTCTTGTGGTGTTTCTCTTTGCAGCTAGCAGTGGTAAGCCCCCACAGACCATGGAGAGAAGAACCACAGCACATTAATCTGTTTTGAAATATCTGTTATACATCTCAGGCTCTTGATCCTTTGACTGGAAATAAAAGGCTAAGAGGAATTTGCAGAAAGGGAACATTTTCTGTCCCAGAAGCCTTTTTCATGCTTAAAAATTTCTGTTTGAGAACAGAAAGGCCATTGTAAGCAGAACAAGCCAAGAAGATGAGGTACAAGTCACAACACTATGTGTCTTTGCTCAAACTTACAGTAAAATATAAATTGAAGTCTTGACGTTTTTAGATGGGCTTTCTCCTTGTCAAAAAAGGAACAGTCCTCCAGATTTACAGCTAAGCCTGGTTCCAAGGCATAAATGGCAGGCTTGCATTCTTCAAAACAGTTCAGCTGGTTGCTGCTGTGAACAAACATGAAATTTAAATGTAGTTAATTAAGCCATATACATTTTTTCTTCAATTTTCCATTATCTCACTACATTACCTCTAACATTTAATCTCCTTATTATGAAGAAAGCAGAAAACAGACCAGAAAACAACCTCCCCCTGCTCCTCCCCTTCACAATCTCCTAATAAACAAAACAGGGAGAGTTATCTCTGACAATTACAGCCTGTAATGTAATGGATGGTTAAAATATGTACATGACATCACTCTTAGCCTTTATTTATTAGTTTTTCTAGTTGATGTATTGCAAAATAAGCTGCTTAGCTTGGAGAATAAAATAAGCAATTAAATTTATTGATAAAAGACAAAATGCTGCCATTTTTGAACTCTCCCCTTTGTTACATGGTTTAAGTGAGGACATTAGTTGTCAGGAAAACAGTCAGGATCTGCAAATGACTCTTTTATTAATGAGTCTATTTAAAAGCATGAATTGTGTGTACATTGTCACTGATATCACACATTTTCCATTTTCTGAAAGATCTTCCTTTGGAAAGATCTTACTCATTGTTTTGCAGCTCCTTTCTCTTCTCTTTAAAAGAAATTTTCCAAAACAATTACATTGCATTCACATGGCTTTATAAAACTTTTGAGTAATATTTTACAAATAACATCAGGATGTTCCTGTTTGAACATTTACTAGAGTTTCTTCTAAGTTATTATGAACTAACCACTAATTATCATCATCTTTATTTCTTTAACCTAATTTCTCCCTTATCAAATCACAAAGTGAAATTTTGGGCTCACTGAACTCAGGGTTTCATCTGAGGGAATTTGGATCTTGCTGAAGTCAGTCAAGATTTTCCATTCATATGGTTGAAGCCACTGTCAATACAGATGAGCTTAGGCTAAGGAGATTAGTTTGCTATTCATAGAATCGTAGAATATCCTGAGTGGGAAAAGACACACAAGGATCATAAAAGTCCAACTCTATCCAAATCTAGGGCTTTTTCCAGTATATATGAGAAATCAAACTATGAAAAGAAATGCCTGGCAAGAGGTCTGTTTGGGATGGTCATGTTCACTGCATAGGGTACAGAGCATGAAGATGTTTATTTTGCATTTACATTCCCAGAAATTATCTGTTTATGTTGCTGGCATAATCCTAATCTTTCAAGTAGTTGCTCAGCAAAGCCTCTAAAGCCACTTTACCTGTTTCAAAATGCTCTCCTCTAATTCCAACACAGAGTTCCTCCACACGTGTTTGAAAAACACACAGTAGAGTTTTCACAGCTGCTGTCCATGTTGCAGCCTCTTCTGGGTGAATTTTGTGTCATCAGCATGGCTGGCCTCATAAGCACAATGGTCACTTAAAAACTAAACAGATCACATGATAGGAACAGTAAGAATTGCTCCTGTTGGGCATTTATTGACTGTATGCAGTTAAAGTCATTAAACAATAGATTTCAGTGTTCTAGAAAGTGTAGGTAGCATGTACTGAAATGGAGAAATACTTAAATTTTAATATCTCTTAAGTCCTTAATGTTTTTACTTCCTTCTACTGAGTTAAATTTTTATCTTTGCTCCTTTGATTCATAAATGTGAATGTCAATGTACTGACAGACAATTTCTTTTGCTCTTGCTACAGGTGGTTTACAAGCCCAACAACTGTAAATGCTTTTTATAGTGCATCTACCAACCAGATCAGTGAGTATCTTCCTTCTGAGCCTCCTCATAAAGTGCTTGTTTGGGAATGTATGTATCAAGCTTCAGATAACAGCTGTACCTGGTATGTTGTTTGTGATTGAAAATTAAAAGTTCAGACCTGGTAATTCAGCTGTGAGACTTCAGTATGTATGTGTGTGTTTGCACTCTGTCCATTGTAAATGATAGCTTAAATCACTTTTGTTTTCTGTAGCAAAAATGTGTACAAACATCTCCATAAACACAGAGTGATAGCAGTTCTGTCCTCTAGTATTGACAGACATGTAACAATAAATGTGGCTAGAGAAGACTGTGATATAGACGAGAAAACATAAGAAGCTGTATCCAGTGGATTTGTTTAATACCTTCAAGGACAAGGAGTGATATCTGTAGTTAACTGAAAATTCATACCTGCATGTGCAGTGATATCTGTGTGATTCTAATTTCTGTTACTGGTTACTTTTAGACAGCATATATTCTAGTGTGGAAAAAAATAAGGTAAAAGAGCTGAGTTTTTCAATTATGTGTTACTAGTTTGGATGTTCATTTCTGTTTGCCTTAATGGGGCTTTGAATTGAAATTTTCTAAAATTCTATACCAGGCTTTAGAATTCTATACCAGTCTGTGTGCAACAGTTTTACCTTTATCCTGGCAATTCTCTTTGCTCTTATTAGCTTTGCATGTTAAATTTGCTTTCTTGTTCTGTGCTGTTAGGGTCTGTAAAGTGGCTGCCACCACTTCTATGGTCTCAGTCCCCAGAGTCAGGACCTCAAAAATTGCTGAGTGATTGCTTGTGAGAGGTTAGTCCCAGAAATTGTTTAAAATTTAGTGTCAATAGAAGGGACTTTAGAAGAAATTCATACAAGGAACTGTGACAAATACAAGCACCCAGGTATTTTAAAGGAACTTAGACAAAAATTTTCGAAACAACCAGCTTTGATGTATAGCCTATGGCTTATAGTGGCCTCCACAGAAAGAATAGGTGTGACAAGTATCAAATCCTATTTTTCAAAAGACAATTCAGAGGGATCTGCATAACAAACCATTTTAGCCTTTATATTAAGAAATCTGGTTGTGACCACAACATGATTGACTAGAGAAAATGAATAAGCATATGATACAACAATGAAGAGTGACCATGAGAACATGAATGCTTTTTGATTTTTCTTTTAGAAAAAAAATCATGCTTTCTTAATCTACTAGAGGGTTTTTTTGTTGTTTTTTAATTTAGAAAGCAAGTAAGTATGCTTGATATGATCATATACTTTTTTTTCCATAGAACACTTTTGATGAGGTTCTTTCTCAATCCTAATAACCTGGAAGTTGTCATGGGACAAGTAAGAAGGTCCTTTCATAAATCAGTGACTGATTAGAGATGATAAGAAGAGGAGGTAGGAACCAGTTACTTGTTGGCAAATAGTTGGAGGGGTGTGCTGTGAGGATCTGTGCTACTCGCTGCATTAGCAGGTGAACTGAAAAGAGGGTTCTGTTCTGTACAAAAGAACAGAGGGATATAAATCCAGTTCAGGAGGACAGTTCCCACTGCTGCTGGCTGCTGGAAGGTAGGAATATGTGCTAGCAGAAGAATTGCCTCACAGGTAATTCTGCCTGAAACTCTTTTCCTTCATATCTACAACTGATCACTCCTGTAAATGAGTGAATGGACCAGATATCCTCTCCATCTGCTTGAGTGGTACTGCTCTTCAGTGAGCAAACTGGACTTTAATGTCTAATAAGGTCCATCTATTTTTGCTCTTTATAAGTGAGTTTACTAAGAAGAATTTGAGAAATAAGAATTTTCAAGTGCATAATAGAATTTGATAATGGAAAGTAGTTTCTATGTGAATTGGAAAATCCCTGGTCCCAAAATTTGATTCTAAAAATTAGTCACTGGAAGCTTCTTGAAAAAGTTAAGAGAAAAAGAAACATTAGTGCCTTGACCCATGGATTCTGAAAAGGAGCAATCATCAGGTGCCTGCAGAAGGGAAGGGGAATGTGGATGTCCTGAGCACCTCTGAGCTTTAGGCAGCTGCTTTTGCTTTCTGTGTACAGAGCACAGGGAGGTCTCTGACACTCCTAATGGAAGGATCAGAAATGCTTATCTCTCTGTAATCTTTAAAACTGACATAAATATTGGAATATCCATGCAAGTCCATGTGATATATATACATATACAGGCAGAATGTTAGTGTTCTTAACTTGACTACTCGGTTACTTGGAAGAAAAAGTCTTGTTTTGCTAAAAGAGAAAATTAATAGAGAATAGAAATTAGATTATTTTAAAAAATTATTAGATTTGTGAGAATTAAGCAAATCTTGCATATGCTGTAGATGTACCAAATTTTGATGTCTTTTAGTGCAAACACTTTTGTGTTTGGTGTTGCTTTGTTTCATTTTCAGTACTAAACTATTGATAGTTTGAATGATTAATGATTCTGTAAGTATCTCCAAAGGAGAAATAAGTAGCTGCACCAAGGTGAGATGTGCTGTAAAGAGCAGAGTTTAAAAATATGTTACATATAATTTATCTTAATATTATACAAGTTTGTTCCTGATGTTCTCTGTATATGAGTTTTATTTATTTATTCCCTCTCTTTCCATAATTCAAATTGTCTTAGAGGGATCACTGTGCATGTTTATAATGGTTATTAATAATTTTTTAATCCTAGTTTGGATAATTTTTCAATTTTCTGTATATTTGCTTGTCAATTTACCCTTTAATTATAGGTACTTAAGAAAGACAACAGGTATGTGTCATTGCCTTTAGAGTCTCAAAATGTATCTAAGTACACTTCATATCATCTAAGCAGCATGAATACTATCTTTTTAATTATCATAATTGGAACACCAAAATATTGGCCTTTGAATATGTTAAGGATAAAAGGGAACTGTTCATCAGACATTTGGTGTGTTTAGGGTTTTTTTTTTCAAAGTGTAAATATGTATGCCTCTAGAATATATAAAAATAGTCACATTTATGGGCTGTGAATAGTAATGAAAGGGAGATTTACAGTGAACTGAGGCAAATATAAGCAATGCACTCATGAGGTGTAAGCTTGAATAGATGTACTGGATAATTAATCTTGATATTATCTCTGCAATTTTATATCCATGCTCCTTCTAGGTCATTTGTGCTGTTACTGCAGTTCTCTAGTGAAAGTGAAGAGGCCTCTTTAGAGAGAGGCCTCAACACATGTTACAGGAAGCAGATATGATCTACAACAGAATTTAAAAATTGCATTCAAATTAGCATCCACAGAGAAAACCAGAGATGAGAGCTCATATTAGCCAATAAGTATCATCTTTACAGGAAGCATCACGCAGATGTTGACGCTGGCAGCTCACTGATGCTGGGGTTGCAAGGGAGAACTCTCATCTTGCCAGAAGCCAGGGAAGTGCTGGCAAACAGCACCTGGTGCATGGCCAGGGCAGGATGAGGGGAATGTGCAATAGGGCATTTTCTCTTCCCTTAAGAACTGGACTATTTGCAATGAAGTAGTTTCAAGTGTGCCATTAGTTTCCTGGAGGTTAATGAACGTAACAGATCTGGACTGAACACTTATGCACCCTGTTATTAAGTAAGCTCTAAGTGTCTTAAGTGAGTCCTCATTTTCAGTTTTCCTGATTTATTAAAGACCACTATTCTCTTTTATTTAACCATGGTGCATGATCCTTACCTCCGTTCTTTATTTTTTCTTCCTAAAATTCCTAGCTATGAATGTATAAAATCGAAGAACTTGTACTTTGTTCTTCTCCCCCTAGACCCCATTCCCTCACCCCAAGGAATCCACTGAGGCTTTTTTCTCATAAAATAAAGATTTAAGTTTCTTGTAAAACAGATGCTTTCACATTTCCCACTCCCTTAGCAGACAGTATTTCTTGGCACCTTACAAACCACATCATGTTTCTCCTCATGTTGCCCCACTGAGGTTGGTAAACACCAGGTTCTCTCTTTTTCATGAGTAGAACAAACCTCTTGTCAGGTGAAGGAGAAACTGAGCCAAGAATTGAAGCAGAGGCTGCAGAGTCCTCTTTAAGACCATTACTTCCCTGTATTGTTTTTAATGAATTTATTCACTGAGTCCTTAATAAAATTAAGCTTTGTGTTCATGCATTGCATGGAACAGTTACTGTGCCTTACACAATTGATATTTTCTGCCTTTTTACAAGTTTTGTTTTCTGTCCTCTTTGCCCACAGGATACAACTTGAAATAAGGTGTATGATTCAGGTCCATGTAATGCCAGACAGTTTAGTCTCTGTCACCTACATATGGATGCTCAAAGCTGTCTGGGTGTCTTAAAGTGTCTGAAAGCAATGTGTTTTTTCTTATGTGTTTTATCTGAGATAAAACTTGCAGGAGCCCCTTGCCAGTGAGACCCCAAAATCAAAACTATCACTGGGATGAGATTCAGTAGTCCAAATAGAAGTCTGTGGAACCATTTTAAACAAATGTATCCCACCCTTTGGGCTGTTTTTAGACAACTAACACATTTCCTGATGTGAATTCAATATTCTTTGATTACTGACCAGCAGTTAGTCTTCTGCTTATATCTTATCCCTTTAAAACTCTACATCTGAATTCATACAGTGCATGAATGTGACTTGAAAAAAACAAGTTAGAGCTTTTGAAAACATCTGAGAACTGTCAGCACACCAATTGGCAGAGAACCCTGTATATCAAACAGTTTAGCACAACTATCTCCTGTATCTGTTACTTATCTGTGGGATTCACTAGCCTGTGAAGAAGTTGCTTAAAACAAACCAACCTCATTATTAGAAGTTGTAAATGCACTAGCTTGGAATAAGGCTTTTCCTTGCTCAGTTAAAAACATCAAGCAATATAACTGAATAATGTAAGTGAACTATACAATTTGAATTAATATTTAGACTTGAACTCCAAATTTCCTTGTGATTTGATGAGTCTTCTCATGTGCTTTTGGTTTAGTTTATCCATTATTGCTCTGCAGGTTTTCAAGGAATTATCAGATCAAATGCAGTTATTTGTGTCTTCTTGGTAAACTAGCAATATTACACTGAGGTAAGGGTATTCATCTGCAAAGTGTATATAACAATACCATGAAGGTATTACCTAGTAAATGGATTTATTAATGATAGTAAAGCCCCTGCAAAACTGAAGAAAAAGAAAACACCTTCAAATTGTGAATACATTCTGACAAGCTTTACAGCACCCTGCTGGAAAGAGATGCTGAGAATAACCTTACAGATACAATGAAGATAGAAACCTTTAATTACATCAAAAGTAGTCTTGTGCAGGCAAAGTTCTATCAGAGCTTCAAGATCAACATGAATTCAGAGTGAAATATTTGAAGTAAGCCAGGTGTTGGCTCCACTGCTTGAAGTGCCCCTGCATTCCAGAGCAGTTAGGTGACTAAGGGGAAAGCTGAACAGTCACTGTGCAAGACACAGGGGTTTGGAAAGCCAAAAGCCTCCCTGGAGATGGATCTGGCAAAGGATGTGAAGTGTAGCTGCAGCAGCTGCAAGTTGAGGGAAAATGTAGCACTGAGTGAGGGCAGGGGACCTGTTAACAGAGGAGACTGACCCTTCGTGGAGGAGGAGTAGGTCGGGGGATGTTTGAAAACACTGGGCAAGCACAGGCCCATGGGCTCTGATAAGGGTGCACCTACAAGCTCACAACATCATTATGAGGCCACCCTTGGTAATCTTCGAAAGGTTATGGTGCCTGGGGGAAGTTCCTGAGGACTGGAAGGAAGCAAATGTCACTCCTATCTTCCAGAAGGAAGATCTAGGGAATTACAAGCTAGCCAGATGCTCAACAGTCCCTGTGTATGTGATAAAGTAAATCCTGGAAACCGTTTCGCTGACCAGCTTTCTACATTGAGATTATTAGCTCAGTGGAAGAAGAGAGAGATGTGAATATGATTTATTCTTTAGAAAGAATTCCTCCCCCAACATGCTCAAATACAAATTGCTGAAGAATTGGCCACTTGAGCGGATGGTCAGGTGCACTGAAAACTGAGCTTAAAGGTCTGTGATCAGAGCAGCTGGTCCCTCTCATGGTGGGATCAGTGGCACAAAGTCCCTCTTGGGGATGATCTTGCCTGGCTGTCCCACCTTGTCCTAGCCTGGCTGTCCCACCTTGCCACCAGTAAGATGCATGGATGTAGGGTCCCAGTGCTGTTCTGTGGCAGCCTGAACTCAGCTGTCCACAGAGCAGTGTTCTTGTGATGTGTGGCACCAGTGCCCATCTCAGAATGATGCTGCAGCCCAGTGACATTGCTCCCAATTTAGGTAGGTTTTAAGAAGGTAGTCAAAGCACATTCTGCAAGTCCAGGTCTTGATGGCAGATTGATCTGTGTGGGGTCTGTAATAAGATGACATAGGTTTCTTTTTTGTGCTGTTGGTGAGTAATAGCCTTGGATGTGGACTCTGGGCCTGCATTTGTAATCTAGTGTATAAAGAGGGAGACTGTCAGCCTGTACCTCTCTTGTGGGGCTGTGTAGAGGGAGAAAGCTTTAAATGATGCACAACACATGCTAAATTTGTGGTCAAGTGTTATCTGAAAATACTTCCCACTGTATCTGTTCCTTAAGATGTGACATTCCCTGAAGTCTGTCTGTCTGACTCCTTCAGCTATGTCCTTTGCCTGCTTGCAATCCAGTGGCATAGAAATAATCCCATTAGTATTTATTGCATCTGCAATAAAGTTCTTTGAGATTTTTCATGAATTCTTTTAGGTGCAATATGCCAAGCAAAAAAAGAAACAGCCTTCACAGGGTAATTGCCTAAATCAAGGGATTCAAATCAGCACAAAATAAGAAACTGTCTGGTGATCAATCTCATCTTACAATTTCAAGGACATTCTAGGTATAAGACATTGTTATTCTTGATCCCCCCAAGAATGATGTAGTTGTTGCTTGCCTGAAGGAGATGTTGCATGAAAAGAATTGTCAGCTCTTAATGTGTCCCTTGTAGTGTTGGAATAGTGGACAAGCACCCTCAGTCCCTCAGTGCTGCTGACCTCTGGAGAATGGGACCCATTTGCTTTTCTAGCTCACCAAGAATCACTTTCAGACCTAGATTTTTTTATTTATTACCAACAAACAAACAAAACCAACAAAACCACAAAAACATGCACCCCCCAAACAAAGCAAAATCAAATAACTCCTACTGGTGATAATGTATTCCAGTTTCCTGAGGTTTTCTGAAATGTATAGTACATTCTATTGGCCTCTGACTCTGCTTTTGCCTGAAAATACTTCCTGAGCTTCCTTTAGTGCAAACTACAGAGGTGTTTTCATAAATGTCCTGAAGCAGAAACCACTCCTTCAACCAGCACTTTGCTCAGTTATATCTAACCTAAAATGGATCCTGACTCTGAGTAAAATAATTACCAACCTGCTATACAGATTCAGCATTGGAGCTCTCTACCATTCATGCACATTGACTTGTTCAGTGAAACTATCTTATGGCTTAACTCACAGCTGTGTTTCAGCAATGTTCTATCAAGACACATTTAGTGTAGCTGGATAAGCCTGAGTGAAGATTTGCACCTAATTTGCTGTAAATAATGTATATTACCTGTACTGCAGACAAGAGCAAACTTACTACAAATTTACACCTGGAAAAAATAATTGCAGCTCCTTAAAAGATCTGGATAGCCTCTTGGTGCAGCGCCAGGCACCCAGGATTGTGTGATCATTAAACATGATTTGTGGGGTGACTGTGCTACCTTGCTTCATACTGCCTTCTGTATGGGCTCATTTGCCTATTTTGACCACAGTTCCTCTCCTCTGCTGTTGTGGGGATAGCATCATTTAGAGTTAGCAGAGCCTAAGCTTTCCTAAACCTTTTCTGAATTTCAGTGTTTGGAGGGAACCTGTCCAAACTAGATTTTCAGCTCTGAACACAGCTCTTAAGTCCTAACAAGCAATTTTCATCAGGTTGTATGAGTGTACCATTGCTGCTTAAAATGTTCAAAATATGCATAATAAATAATATTCTGTGCACTGGGAGGCAAGGAGAGTTAGATCAGTAAAACTTTGTCCTTGACATTGGTAAAATTGTTGTTTGCAGTGCTGGAAAAGAAAATTATATTGTGCTTTAAACAATAAAACACCATGTGAAAAAGTAAGAAAAAAAAACCCAGAAAAAACTCAGAAAATAAGTTTGAAGCCCACCCTTTTTATAAGCTAATTGCAGATAAGGAATGATGGCAGCCACGGAGCAGCAACAGAAAAAAGCAGCAGGGCAGGCCAGGAGGACATGCCTTGTGCCACATCACTTGGCATGAATTACACTCAGCATACTGGGTTTGGTTTGGGTTTTTTGGTATGTTGGGCTTTGTGTTTTCTTTATTTTTTTTATTTGAAAGTAAGTTTTTAAAGACTTTGTAAGGAAAAGACAGAGGTCTTGACTAACAACTTATCTCAGATATAAAGAAATCCATAACCAAACTATCAACAAAAAACTGAATAGTGTTAGAATCAAATGAATATGGTTTTTGTATTGTTCTGGGTGTTCAGGTGATTTCTTAAAGAGAGACCCATAGGGTAAAGAAGAGTTCCTGGGAAAACAAGTGAGTCACTTGAGGAAACGTTCTTCCTCAACAAAGTGATGACCATGTGGGTAAACCTTCTAAGCAGGTGTGTACCTGTGCTTTATAGATGAGAATTTGTGACACAAGACAGTAAATTTGGGCATGGAAGTATGGCACTTTTCACCATCACATAAGAACTTTGACTGTGGGTGTATGTTTTATTTAGCAATTATTTGGGCTGTTAAACTTCTACCATGTGCAGTTCTACTGTCTTTACTATCCTGGCACTAAAATGTCACCCACGAATTAAAAATAAACCTGTGACTTTGAATTTGAGGAACAATTTTGATTCCTGTGTGAAACATCAGTAGCTCATCACTCGCCAGAGTGTTTCCATTGTTGTTTTTTTGGCAACTGCTTAGTCTACCAGAAGCAGCCAGGTAATATCCATAGCTAGGCTGGCCCTACAGCCTTAATAATCTACAGTTTTCCTTTACAGAAGTGCCTAAGTATGCTCATTTACCTCTATTTTTTCATAGACTAAATAGAATCAGGCTTGTATTTTATAATTTTCATATTTCTTGCTTCACTGAAGCCTCACTAAGCTAACAGTATTTTAATTCTTAATGCACTTCACCTATGTATTGTCTATTGATCAGTCAGCCATCTGAGGATAATCCAGTACCCTTCATAGGAAGCATGAGGTGTGTTTCTCACAGCAACACATGCCTTTATTCAGACCTGCTTGTGGCAGGATCTCTGCTGCCTCTCTGAGATCCTCTCTATTGCATTCTACCACCCATGGGAAAGCTCCCCTTGAAAAACCTTCTAAAACCAAACAGATGAGGTCATAAAATCTAAACCCTTGGGCATTGTGACAACTATTCAGTTGTATTCAATTGACCTCACCAGTTTTTTCTGTTCTTTTTTTTTTTTTTTCCCTTTTTTAATTGCAGGATTCCCAGCAGGAGAACTTCAAAAGCCTTTCTTTTGGGGAGCAGAGTATCCTAGGTAAGTAGTGCACAAGGGAACCTCATCCACCTAGAACTGAGGAATAACAGGGAAAGGTATTGCAAACACATATAGACAAAGAAGAGGATGTGGAGAAGAAGGCTGCAGTGCTGAAGACAACTGAAAGGTAGTCCCTAGGAAAACTGTGTTGTCCTGCTCTAGGGCAAACGTGGTCCTTGGGCTGTGCGTTCTCTCTTGCTGTATCCTGCTTTTGCCTCTGGAAGGACTGACTTTGAGAAGTGCTGCTTTGTGTGATATTTTCTTACCCTTGGGAGCTGTTTATGTTGCTGTTGTCTTAAACTGATGACTGATTTCTCACAGGAATTGCTAATTAAGTGCACCCAAGTGGAAGTGTTTCAATGCTACAGCATGGAGATGTAGCAGTGTGCACATGGCAGGTATTAAAAGGAATTGTAAATCAGATAACTAACACTTCCTGAATAGAAGTGAATACCCAGAGAAGCCAATTATTATCAGTGTATTGCTCACTTTCTGCTAATATCTAAGATTAGGAGTGGGCCCTTGTCTGTGCCTGTCAAGGTGCATGAGAATATCTTCATGTGCATAAGTGATTGCCTGAGACTGCCTGAGCAGGCCCATGTGCTAGTGTAGCTGAGGAAGGGTAATTATAGGTCACATACATTAAATTTTGAAAAATCGCTGCTTTTGTGCAGTTCAATAGCTTTCTATTTTAGGGCAGGGTAAGACCATGAAAAGTTTCTGGTAGCAGTTTCTGAAAGTTATTTTGCAGTTATATAAAGCCAGTTACTGGTGAAACATATCCCTAATAAATCATTGTTAAAAAAAAAAAATCAAACTTTTCAAACTTTTTGGTTTTGCCAGCATCCAATCTAGATTGTGTCCTTGTAAACAGGAAATTTGGCAATATATGTTCAATTTATGAACAAATTAATTAGCATTCAAACAGAATTCTTGTGGGCCAGGTGACTTTGTAAGTGGTAATTGGGGATAGAAGAAAGTCCTTTCTTCTTAAGCTGAACTCATTTTCTGTTATCGTTATTGCAGACCAGCTTTGCTTTCTGAACAGATTTCTCTGTATTCTGACCTTCTGCCATTGTGATAAAACTGTGGTTCTTTCAAAATATTATACTTTGCTCATTTCTCTTCCTTAAAGGTTACCTTAGCTTAAATTGGTTTTGCTTGAGTAGTATCGAAATGCAATTTAGTAAACAAATGTAGCTGGTTTATATCAGACAGAAGATTGCTTTTGTCCTTGAAATATTCTGGAAATTTTCTATCTGCTTAGAAGAAACACTACATGGCAGTGGAACAGATAAACCATCAAGAAGTTACCAGTGCCTGCTGAAAATCTAATTTAGGAAATATTTAACATTTAGTGGCATTTTAGTGTCCAGTTCCAGCACAACCACCAAAATCCAGTTACATCTATTTGCAGAAAGTAAAGTTTAGTTCTCACTTTTACATCTCGGTACATTAAAATAACACTCAAATGCCACTGTTCACAATTGTGAGTCTTCAGTGCCATATATATTGAAATAGAGACTTCAAACTATCTGACCTCATTGCTTCCTTACAGTTCTGAGCCTCCCCACTCCCAGAAAGTTCCCCTTTAATATGGTATCTGCTGGGCTACACCTAACTCTTCCATCTCTGTCCATCTGTGCCCAGAAGTGAAAAGCATGAACTGAACTGGGAAAATTTCTGGAAAAAATATTGCTGAGATGGACAGAATGCTGTGCTGGGGTTCACAGATTTAACCCCATCTTTTGGAGCTAAGGAAATCTCCAAGGAGCCAAAGTGCCAGAACACCAGCCTATTCTTTGTCCCTGCCACTCATGGTGACAAAGAATCTTAGAAGAAAAATAACATGTATTTAGTAATGGGGTTTGTTTCTTCTGGATCTCTTTACATGTTTTGTGCCATTATTTTTATACTTCTCCAGCTGCAAAAGATCCTGTATAACCCCTTTATTTCAGATATGGAAAACAAGTCTTACATAGTGCATTTATTAGGGGTAATTATCACAGTCTGCTACACAAGATTACAAACTTGTCACACTAAAGGATGGCATTTCCATTGCTGAAACGTGTAATTTTAACTTGCATTTTTTGGAGATGGTTTGTAACAGTGCTTGGGCTAAAAAGCAGTAGGGGAGATTTTAACACATGCAAAGTACCATTCAGGAAAGCAAAAAACAAAGTGAATGATTTTCATGGGAGCAGAGGGAATTAAATTACATAATAGTTTTTGGGAATGACTGAGATGAGCAATTAGTGCACTATGGATCATTAAGTCCAATAATATGTTATTTCAAAATCCTCTGCCTTTCTTCTATTTCAATACAATGTCTTAGAAATACTATAAGCTACTTTGAAGTATAGCATCTCAATAACTGAAAAAATTAAAATCACAAAAAGTAACTTAACAAATGAAAGATACATTGAGTCGCATACCCCCATGATACCCACTGTAAAAAAGCCCTGAGCTTTTCACTCTTTAATTCCTATTTCTCCTAAAAGCATGCTTATTGGGATATAATAAGGAATATATAATTAATTGTCAGTCAGGAATACAAAGTATTTCTTTTTACTCTGTTTTCCAGGTGCCTTAGATCTTACTGTGTATCATGTCCTATTCCAGGGCAGGTGCAAGGGAATTATATGGCCTTTCTTTTTAAAACTGAATGGAGATCTGTTAATGCTTTACAAAAGGTAGTCATTATTTCAGAGTAGTTACAGCTATAACTTTGTCCTGTTCCCAGTCAGAATATTCAGAATTCAGTCAGCTGAAGGAGGGTGGAGCTCATATGATCCTGACAAGGAATTTGATTGGAAGAGTAAACTATCACAGTGCTTTCAAAGTTTTAGATTAATTCTTACTTTCAAATGAGAGTTTAACATTAAGATTTTCAATGTCTGTAAGTCAAAATTGTGTAGGTTTGATTTTTAGACCTATATCCCCTGCCTCCTCAGCCTATTTTTAAATAAATAATGATCTTTCCTGAGGTATTTTTTCCTTTAATGTTCACGACTGTGAGCACTTTCTGAGGAAGCTGCTTCTTTGTGTTACAGGTCATTAAGTTATGGTGCCATAGGAGTGATTGTTGGCCATGAGTTTACTCATGGATTTGATAGCAATGGTGAGTATTTGATGCACTTTTATAACTTTTTTTTATTTACAGAGCTGACAGATTAGAAAGCTGACTTGTACATGCTGTAGCATTTTTCTTCTTTTGGTTTTTTAAATGTGCTGAGTTGTGTGGAAAAATTATAAACTTTTATTTATTAGATTTATTTACATGGAATCATGCTTGTCTGAATTGGATTTTATTTGGTAAGAAATATCACAAGTTTGATTCTTTCTGTTTGTCTTGAATGAAAACTAAATCAGCAGCAGATTCTGAAAGTCCTAACTTTCAGAAGGGGGAGGGGGGAGTGGGAAGGACAAAGGGATAGTTTCTGTTTGATAAAAATTCCTAAAAAGCTTTTCATTTCAAGTTTGACATTTTTCAAAAGATAATTGTAAAGTTTTAAAATACAATACTGGAACAAGAGTGGTCGAGAAAAGGTGTTGCAAAATATTAAAATTAAATGAAAAAAAAAAAGAGAGACAGGAAAAAAGTAGTCATAAAATGTCAATGCAATTGTCCTGACAAACTGGGTGGAGTGGGGCATTGCCACTGCCTAGGTTTGGCTGTTTCAGTAAAGTGCTTTTAAAAATTGGGACCTGAGAGAAAGTTTGGGGAGAGGGGGGAGGAGGGAGATGCAGGCAGAAAGAAACTTGAACCCCCTCCTCTAGGGAGTAATTTTGAGTTTGCTTATGTCGTGCAATGTTGAATACCTTAAAAAAAAACCCCAACAAACCAAAAAAACCTCTGGTATTCTGTTTGTACTGCTCTACAATACTTTGTGTCAGCAAACACTCCAGAATTGAGACATTTTTCTTCATAAACTCCCACCTTGTGTAGGTGAGCACCTAATCTCCACTTCATCTCCTGCCAATGAGAAAGGAACCTGAAGCTTGATTCCCAAGCAGACCCCTCCTTACCAGGGTCTTACCTTCCAGATACAGAAATAAATACATCTCTAGGGAATTTGTCACCTTGTGGAAACTTTAGAAGTTTGCATGAAATGGATTTGTTTCCTGATCAGGTGAAGAATTAATAATAAATTAGTTACCATCACATTAACAGAATGAAAGACGTATGGTCTGAGGATGAAAGATGCAATTATACTTGCAAGAAAGCTAAGTGCCTCTTATACTACGTAATTATAAAATGTACTATAGAATTCATTAGATATTACTATATTTTTCTGCAAATAAATAAATAGACAATAAATAGAATGCCAGATTTTCACTGCTGATTTGAGTGGGGTCAAGATTTTGCTCACTGTTCCTATCCATTTTGTACACATACTCACATGAGAACATTCACCTCTCATTTCTGTGATAATTTCCTAAACTGTAAAAGTTTTTTCCTGCAAAAACGTTCATTTTCTTTCTCTCCTTTTTGAGGTCGGAAATATGACAAAAATGGAAATTTAGACCCTTGGTGGACGACTGACTCTGAAGAAAAATTTAAAGAGAAAACAAAATGCATGATTAATCAATACAACAATTACTATTGGAAGCAAGCAGGCTCACATGTATGTAAACCACCAGTAACTGAAAACAGTGGTACATGACGAATTTGGGTTGTGATTTTTTTCCTTTTATTTAAGTTCTCTTTTTATAAATCCCAACATATTGGAATATTAAACTACCAACTTCATTTCTCACAAGAAATGATTTTTTGAGGTGGATAACTGTGTTAAAAATTGTCTGTCAGGTTTGATTAGTCCAGTCAAATACCACTACCCACACTCTGGTGACAGGGTTAAACCATTTCTCTCCATCACATCTTTTTGGAATCAGAGGAAGAGGATGAAGCTACTCAGCAGGGCTGGTCTAATTATTGTGTGCATGTTAAATGTCTTCTGAAGATGAAGTCTCTAATGAAAACTGAACATTCACTCTTTTAGAAAGAATATAATAGCATGTTTTATAGATTCTTTTAACAATTCTGCCTGTTGTTTATTGCAGCTATAAAATGGATGCATAAGCCCTACTTTATTTCAGATTCAACTCTTGCTATTCCTTCCATGTGTGCACACAGACCCCATTTGTATGTTTAATCAAGGGAATATGACAGCAGTAGCTCCTAGAAAAGGATTGAAAAAGTGCAAGGGAATTGTTTTTGCTTCATTGTGTATCAAAGGTATGGGCTTCCCTGAAGATGTGTACATTCATATGTGTGTCCAAAATGAGGATAAACAGGATATGTCCCAGACCTTCAGAAATGAATAGCTGAAATTCCAGTGATGTTGTCTGGGACAGGATTTTAATCTTAGTTTTCAGGATAAAACACATACTCCAGTCCCCACTCAATTCTATCACCTCTACCTACATTTTAGAAATACTAGTACATCTTTGCCTTTTAAGAATAATGAGGCCATGAAATTCTTATCAACAGTTCTAGCACTTTTCCCAGGTTTGTCTGTACTGATCTCAGAGATAACAAAGCCATATTGTGGTCCAGTGTGAAGTCCAGCAACTCAGACTTGAATTATTTCATAATAAGCTAATTTACAAATAAAAAATCTCAGGCTCATTCCTGAATATTTGTAGGACAAAAATCATAACTACAAAAATGTTACTGAAAGAAGATCTTTAAAACCTCCCCCAAGGATGTGGCTGAGCTCTTCCCATGCCTCTGCCCTTGGCTTGGCTATCCCCTTTACCTTTTGCACTGTCTCTTGAGATGAGGTAGGTCTGAATTTCCTCCCAGTGTAGATACTCCCTTTGAAGTCCATGAGCTTACTAGAGAGATCCTGTTACCCACAGCCTTGTCATCCCATTCCTTCTATATCCACAGGATAACCAAAACCACTTTTTAGATGATAGAAGATTTTTCCAATTTTCTACTATATTTTATAGCTTTTGTTTGAAGAGTTATGCAAGCAAAGACCTTTTTTATTATCATTTGGGCCTGTCATTTACATCAGCTCTCTGCAGGTTTTTTACCCTTGTATGAATATTTTTCATGGATCAAGAAACCTATTTATTCTTCTTCCTTCTCATTTGGTATACAATAAAATTGTTTCCAGAAAAGAAACCTAATGAAAGAAAAAGTGGATATAGATATAGCTTCAGAGTGCATTAATCACACAAATTCATCTTATCAAATAAAGGGTTTATCATGGTCCGTGATCCCTGCCACAAACTCTCTGAGCAGAGTAGTCTCAAATACCTGATCCACAGCTGCCTGAGATCAGCAGAAAGAATTCTTCCACTTTTTAGCTGGCCTGTGGCCCTGTGCCACTGTTAGGTTACTCTGATCTTGTGCTCTAAGTCAGCCTCGCTCACAAGCCCAATGCAAGTAAAATGTGTGAGCAGGAAGGCCAGGGGAAAAGGCAGCTGTGTGCATGTCTGCTCCCTGGTGTCCTAAAAGCTTCTCTCTCACCTCCATCTCCATCCTCCTGAGGGCAGGGGAGGTCGAGCTGTCAGGAAAGGGTTGCACTTTCCTCTGTGGCTCCCATTTTTCCTGTAACATGGTACCCAAGGCATCAAGTGAGATGTCCTGAATCCAATCTGGGTGCTCATCTGTGCTGAGTGTGGGGCTGTGCACAAGTTTCTGGCCATTCCCTTGAATTTCCCCTCATTTGCCATCCTGAAACTGAGTCCTGATGCCAACCCCACTGTCCTGATCCCTGTGGCACGGGAGAGCTGATGGCTGCAGCCAGCACTGACCTTCAGAGCCTTGCTCAAAACCATGCTCAATAATCCTGCTTATTTGAGGCACAGGGGAGAGTAAAAGTGCTTAATTACAAACACAGTTGGTAACACAAGGACCTATGTAGGCTGGGTGAGTAGAGATAATGCTACTTCAGCAGAAATCAGGATTTCTTTGTAATGACATTGCACTTGGTAATGCCAGCAGACCAGTGTCCTCACAAAGTTTATGTAGTGCAGTTTCCCACAATACATTCTTCTTGCTATTGCTCCTGTTCTTGGAATCAATAACCAGGAGAAGCATCAGGAATCTCCTTTGCAGATATTTTTAGAGCACTGAATATACTACCAATTTTGATTCTGTCTCTGACAGCTATTTTTAATTATGCTTATTTATGTTATGACTTAGAAGTTATTTTAGCATCCCAGTAGCATATTAAGAGTTATGTAGAGAAATAAATATAGCCTTTTAGATAAAAGTTTAAGAGGCTACTGGATGTCACATGTCACCATATATAAACAGTCCTTAGGGGAAAATTACTGACACTCAGCTCAAAGATCGGGACTGGATTCTTAAGTAGATTCTATCTACTATGTTTTGTGCTACAGAGGTCTATGATCAGAGCCAGGATAACTCATCACAGAAAATAGTTTACTTGCAGTATTAACATGGAAGCCCAGTTTTCTTAACCAAATTTGGTTGAAATTGACTGAGGTGTTCTTGCCTTGTTTTACTTTTCCCTCTCATTTTGAAGTTGATAAAGTAGGAAGTTCAGAAATGGGTCAAATGACTGATGTTCTTTCATTCTGCCAAGGTGAAAGGGAAGAGAACTTTGGCAGAAAACATTGCAGATAATGGAGGTTTGCGAGAAGCTTTCAGGGTAAGTAGGTGGAAAAATATCTGAAACATCATATTATTAAAAAAATAATAAACCAAAAAGCTGTGGTTATCTTCATGTTGCTGAAAGGCACTGAGTATCTCTTTCTTATCAGGCATACAGGAAATGGATAACAGAAAAAAGGGGAGGAGAAGAAGAGCCTTTACTGCCAGGCCTTGAGTTCACACATAACCAGCTTTTCTTTCTGAGTTATGCTCATGTGAGTAGCTCAAATGTGTTTAAAATCCCCTCTATTAACTTGAACAATGTGCAGTGCACAGATGAGCTTGCTTGTTTTCAACAATCTGCATCACCAAAACACAGATTTTGAGAGTATAAGCAGAGACTGCTCCCACAATTATTTTTTCCTTCTCTTTCCCTTTTTGTCCTCAACTACTCATGGTCCCAGAACTGCTGAAATTTTTCTTGGCTTTGCACAGTGTTGTCACAACAACTTTCTTTCTTCTTTCTGCTTCCCTGCACAAAAAGGGTGTTCCTGCATGTACTGACTCCTCAGCCTCCTTCAATTTGAACACACACACTTGTTACTGTATACATTGTTCAAGGAAACTAAGCAGCAGTGAAGAAAGTCTTCGTTTATTTTTTCCCATCTGTACACTAAATATGCTGTGACAAAACTTTGATAAGGGATGTGAGTTTTTAGAGAAAACGCAGAACAAGGGAGAGGATCAGAAATTATTTATTTGGGTAAAAAAAAATAGGGCAAACTCCCTACATGAGAAGTAAAAAGCTGTAAAACTTTGCCACCAGTTGAAGGAATTAATCATCTCAAACTGAAAAAAACATGACCCAATGCAAGCAGTCCTAGCTGAAAATAATTTCTCTGCTGGAAGTCAATGTAACAGTCTATGGGCCTATGGCTGTTTCAGTTTTATTATATTGAACAAAGAAAATATTACACTTTCATTGTTTATGCTGAATTAAGTTTCACCTTGTGTCAGTTTTTCTCCAAGAAAAGTTTGAAGCTGCAGGGAACATCTGGGGGTTTTACAGGAACACTGCAGAAATCATATGTCCTGTGGTCCCTCAGAGAGAGGGCACGTGCACAGTGAGAGCAGTGTATGTCAGGTACCCTCGAGCTCAGTCTATTTTCACTCAAGACACTCAACAGACTTATTTAAAATGTCAGAACTGTGTTCAGCCAGACAAAATTGCTCTGAAGTCCACAGAAATCCTATGGGCAATCTGCCTTAAAGGATTTTGTTGATAGGAACATTTAATGCAGTGACTTAGGTAAGGTAGGGGCAGTTTAAAGGAGATTTTTCATGCAATGGACACAGCATAAGAGGGATTATTCAGTTGTGCAAATGTTCTATGTACCCTGTTTTTTGGTCATTTATGATTGGGTTAAGTGTCTCATCAGGAACAGGGAACTGGGGACCACTGATGGAAATGTGGAAGATGTGTAATTTACTGACAGATGAAAAAAGATACTGACATTCCAACATGGCATTAATATATTAGGTAATACAGCAGCAATTCTAGAGATGATAAGCATCATTATGTGTACCTTTTATACACATTACGTAGTTTTGAGACCAAGAAGTATGTTTGGTAATTATTAAGGTGTGAGATGATGCAGAACAGGCTGAAAGACAAGCTATCATTATCAAGAACTTCAAAAAAAGAACTAGTAAAGTGACTGTGACTAGATGATGTGAAAGTGTGTAGAGAAAAATAGTGGGTGGACACTGGATCCATTAAGGGATTTGAAAAACAAGAGAATATACCAAGAGAAAACTGCAGATTGGCAAAGGTGAAACAAAGCAGGAATTTATGGTGTTTTTCTGTTTTATGCAGTCTATAAGTAATAGACATCTTCAGAACAGTGACATTACATTTTGCTGTATATAAAAAGTCATCACAGATAATGTATTTTTTTCTGATCTTTTAATTTTTTTTTTATTTTATTTTATTAGGTAAGATGCAACTCCTTTAGACCAGAATCTGCGAGGGAGCAAATATATACCGGAGCTCACAGCCCTCCTCAGTTCAGGTAGTGCAAATATGGTATTTCCTCAGTGTACACACAGAATCAATCACTGCAGAACAGAAGTGCAAAAATATAGCATTTTAAGAGGGCGTTAAGAGCAAACACAAAATTGGATTGTGCTCTTGGTTTAGATGGAAATTGAACTGGTTTTATTAGCTTATCTTTCACTATTATAAATGCTCTTCTGTGAAATTGAGGAGCTTGCATCTACCTTCAAAAGCATTTGAACCAGAACACACTCTGATCCCTGTGATTCCTGTAATCATGGCCTGAGTACCTAAAATGCCTCATCTATCACTTTCTTTCCCTAAGCAATTCTAGTTTAGAAAACAGTGAATATAAGGAGGGTCCTTGATTTAATCTGTCTGAGTTCATTAAAAGGTCCTAAGTCTCAACCTTGAATTACAGTGATGATGCAAAGCAGAACGTGTCCTGTGAGTTCAGTTCAAGACCAAACTCTTCCATTGGCCTTCAAGTGACACTTTGCTTGAAGGAGCTGTGGTAGTCCAGCCATAACAGAGGGAGACTCTCCTTGCCAGAAGGCCTCCCACAGGCTCTTCTAGCCACAGACACTCATGAACTCCCTGCCATGGGAAGGGGAAAGTTTTAGAGACTAAACAGGAATTAGGAAGCCAGAGTTTATTTTTCTTCACCAAGAACATGTTGGTTTTGTTGGGATTCATGTTGGTTGCATTTACTTAACTAAGAATTCTGTGTTTGCCCTTGGTCAAGTACTACATTACCTCTTCATTTGGACAAAATTCACACAATGCAGTGGATTATTTACCTTCTAGAGAATCCTACCAATTTTTGTTGACTAAAAGAGTGTTATACCAGCTAGTGAGGGTAAAAGTAGTGCAGTATGCAAATCTGTGTGCCTTTTGATATTGAAAATACATAATGACAATGAGGACAGGAGCATCAGGTTGACCTTCAGCCTACAGAGATATTATTTTCGTAATTCTTACCCGTGTTAAGATTTTGGTAAAATAACCATCTGTTGTCTTTTAAATTCCTCAGGTTTATTTACCTATATGCATATTTATATTCTTAATCATTTCATAGCTCCATTCCCATGAGATGGTGATAAACATGGAACTCTAGGGATAGAGTATTTAGTAGGAAAACTCCTGAAGGCATCAGGCTATGAAAGAAAATTTTAGAGAAGTTTAGATTAATATGAGATCTAGAAAATATAGACAAAACTTTTTCTTAATTTTTGTGTGAGATACTGAAAACTGGCTTCTGTTTCAGAACTGAAGAAAAGCAGTGGTGCTTGTCTCCTTGTAAATCATATCAGTTGGGCTAAAAAATTATCTTCTTTATTTCTCTCAACTTGGTTTCATTTATGTCCCAAGACCATTATAAGCATAACTCCAATACAGGTAGCTCCAACACTGACAGCTCTTTCTGTCCAAACAGCTCAACCAACCCTTTTAAAAGTAATTATAAAAGGTAACAATAAAAATTATAGAAATGAACAACACATGTCTTGAGCACAGGTGTGTGCAGCTGAACTACTCACACCAGTTTCTCTTCAAAGTCAAAAAGGAAATGTCATTTTAGATGTTAATATATATATATAAATAATCTTTCAGCAGGTAATAAGTTTAAATTACTTAGACTCTGCAAGTACATCTTTCTATTGATTACCAAGGGAAGCCAGTGTGACCTGCTCAAGGAAAGGTGTCTCTACTATAATTCAATGGGATAAAATCCAGACACTCCACTCTGATTTCAGTTAATGTGTGGCAAAATCAAACCATGGGTAGAAAAGTGGTGGGCATGCACACATAAAGATTTTTTCACTGGATAAATTCTGGGTTTACTTGGTTTTAATTGGCAGATTTTCAGTATTAGCATGTGTCTTTGCTATTTTTGGATGCCAATTTCAGATTGAAATCCCTGGCATGGCAGGCAGAACTCCCACCAACATCAGCAGCAGCTCTGCATGACCAACTCTTGCTGTTCCAGTCCCTGAATATGTATCTGCAGTTTTTTTTTACAGTAAAGCTGCATATCTTATTTGAAGCCTAACCTAATTCTGTAATCTTCCATACAAAACTGACCTTTAGGTATTTTTGTGCCAGATGACTGCAAATTTTCTTACTCACAGAAAGTCTAATCAATGTAATAAGAATATTTTCTACCATGCTGAGCTACACTGAGAAGCTGACTGTCTGCAATATAGAAAAATGCCTCCGCACTACATAACAAAGGCAAGGTATACAATTAATATCACAGTAGATATTTTTCTGCTTTTAACTCAGAAAACTCTTTGATACCATTGCAAGTTTCAGGTTAGTAAATCCCAAGATGGTTAAAAGCATAGGAAAAAACAGCAAGCAACACAATTTCAATCTAGAAAAAGTAAAATAATAGTTTCTGACTGCATCAAATAATGCAGATGTGAAAGCAGGAGCCAAGGATGACTGCCTGCAAAGATCAAGCTCTTCCCCTGTGCCTGAGGGTGCCAGTCTGGAATTCAGGCACATTGTCCAGCTTGTGTCAGGCAGTGATGTGCTGCTCTTTCACTATCACACCACCTGTGGCAGAAGCAAGAGAGCTTGGGAGTTGCTCAGGGCAGAAGGCTCAGACAATATATTTCCAAAATACCAGAGAAGTAGAGATGCTCACAGGTGCAAGGCTGAGCTGCCCAAAAAGAGCCTGCAAAGTCCCAGGGACCCAGTGTGTGTGGGTGTGGATGTGTGTGGGTGGGCAGAGCGTGCTGTTAAGAGAATCTGGAGACTCATGAAACCATTGCCAGCACAACCTCACTGCCAGCATAACCCCAGTGTGTGCTTACATCCTCCTGCCTGCTGCACTGCAGCTGTCTGGCAGGGCTGAGAGAAGAATTCCACCATGCACCAAGGGTTACATTAGAAAATTGTTCTAAAAGACACAGTATCACAAAATACATTTGTTTTCATCGAGTTTCTAGCAAAGCAAGATGTTTCTCAAAGCATGAAACAATATTTGCTTCATATTAACTTTAAATGGGAGCCCATCTCCTGAACCTTTTGGTTTTATTTGTGGAAAAAATTATATGAAAGCCTGAAAATTCAGCCTGGAGTGAAAACACTGACACACTTACAGACCTGTAGTGTTTGACAAAAGGCAACCTGCATGTCAACCACTTTTCTCTTTGCAGAGTAATCGGAGCCATGAGCAACTTTGAAGAGTTCCGTAAAGCGTTCAATTGCGCCGCGAACACGACGATGAACCGCGGGGCAGAGTCCTGCCGGCTGTGGTAGCTGTCCCTTCCAGCTCTTCCCTCAGGGGGAGGCTGCAATCTGAACTGCTCAAGCCCATTGCCAGGGTTTCAGAATGATGGTCTGAAACATGGAGAGGTGTTACTCCAAATGCATCTTCCTCATCCGTGCTGATGAGCTGCATGGATCTGATCATTCCTTGTTTAGAACCTAGAAATATTCCAAATAGAAGAGCTTTTCTTTAAGTATAATAATAAAAAGTAACTTCTTTTAACCATAAAAACTACTCCGGCTCATCTGCAGTTGCACTGCTGTTGATGGATAACTGCCATTATCAATTCTAATTCCTGATTTATAGTTGAGCAAGACGTAAATGCTAAAATCCAGTTTTAATCTATTGCTCTGCAGGGGTTCTATGCAGAATGCTCCCACAGGAAAATTTATTCTTTCTGGATGAAGAAATTCACGAGACCTGCTATAAAGCCAGCTCTGATCTGCTGTGTGATACTGCATTTTCATAACTTAAGCTGTCACAGCCCAGCATGCCATAAATGATGTTGCATGATGTAAAGACACAAGACTTTATATAAGTTCAGTTTAATATGTCAGATTAGTGCCTCTGGTTTTGGAACAGTTTCAAGCTGAGAAAGTACCTCATAGTATTAATCTGTAGGATTAAAACATAAAGGATACTTGTCAGATTGTGGCCTCTTCTAATTTTAGAACAGCTTATGATAAAAATCAATGTATGGTGAAAATCAGAGGCTCTCAGAAGGGATTCCCAGCACCATGATACTCATAAATATTGCAGCATTTTTTCTGGTTTACAGTGTAGGCAGGTTTTTTTTTTTTTTTTTTTCCCAGGGAATGGTTTTTACCTTGTGCTGAAGATAGCTTCATCTACATTTATTTTTTTAAGCCAGAAATACTATACCAGTTTTAAATTATGGATTTGATAGTTTTTGGATCTTACATGGCATTTTAAGTAGTGTGTGTGTTTGCCCTCATTTTCTGGATGGGGCAGGATGACTTTTGATTTTAAGGTAAGAGTTTGTGACAGAAAAACAGAGTACCAGCATCATTTGACTTGTCTGGGTAAAAAGAGCAACTGAGGAGTAGAGGACTTAAAAATATAGTAAAAATACAGACCAGTTGAGTTTTTAATTTGATTTTTAAGAGTATTAATGAAAAGATATTTTCTTACAGCAGAAAAACTTTAACACATAACTATTACTGGGAGGGTTGGGATGGGGGGTGAGGGAGGATGCACACACAACTCTTTTTTTCCTGACAGAAAGGTACCTATACAAGCGGTGTATATTTATACCTTGTGCATTATTTCATTTTTACATGGTGGAATTATTTCAAAAGGAGTTTCTTTAGACTGATTTAATTCCTGCAAATCCATATTGGTCTCTGTGTGTATATACATAGATAGAAAATACAATTTTTTATATGCTTTAATTTTATTTTATCAGTATAGAAATGTTAGTAAGAGAAACTTTTTTTACAAAGATTGGTGAAATACTGTTGGATAAGGACTTGGTTGGATTATTGCATCCAGAGGGTGATGGTCAATGGCTCAGAGTCCTAATGGACATCAGTGAAATGTGGTGCCCCTCAGGGGTCCATACTGGCACCAATGCCATTTAATATCTTCATTAATGACAGATAAAGGGATCAAGTGCACCCTCAGCAAGTTTGCAGATGACCCCAAGCAGAATCATATGGTGACCACACCTGAAGGATGGGATGGCATCCAATGGGACTTGGACAATGAGACTTGGCCCTTGGGAATCTCATGAGGTTTAACAAGACCAAGTGCAATGGGTTGCACCCAGGTCTGGGCAACTCCTTGTATCAACAACATCTGGGGATGAGCAGATCAAGAGTAGCCCTGCCTGGAAGGACTCAGGGGTGCTGGTGGGTGAGAGGCTGGACATGACCCAGCAACAGGCATTTGCAGCCCAAAAAACCAACAGGGTCCTGGACTGCATCCAAAGCACCAAGGGCAGCAGGTCAAGGGAAGGGAGAGGAAGGCACCAAAACAATTAGAGGGATGGAGCACCCTTCCTATGAGGAAAGGTTGTGAGAGTTGGGATTGGTCAGCCTGGAGAAGGGAAGGCTTCAGTGTGACCTACATTTCAGCCTTCAGTACATGAACGGAGTCTACAAGAAAGATAGAGAGGGACTTTTCACAAAGGCATGGAGTGACAGGACAAGGGGGGATAGCTGTAAACTGGGAATAATTTTGGATTAGATGCTAGGAAGAAGTTCTTTACTGTGAGGGTGCTGAGGCACTGGAACAGACTGCTCAGAGAAGTTGTGGGTGGCTCAGCCCTGGAAATGTTCAAGGCCATGTTGGATGGGGCTGAGCAACCTGGTGGAAGTGCAAGGAGGTGTCCTTGCCCATGGCAAGGGGTTAGAATTAGATGATCTTTAAGGCCCCTTACTACCCAAATCATTCTATGATTTTATGATTGTCCAACAGTCACATTGGAGTAAGGTTTACTGAAGCTAACTAACTGAAACTAATTGGGTTATTTTCCTGTGTATCTTTAGAAAGAAGGGAGACATAATGGAAGCATAATCTATGGAAAAGGACAGGATCTCAAACTACCTTCCAGAGTGAAGGAAGCAGATACTCCTGTCCTCAAGACTGTGTTGCCACTTTTTAGCAAAAAATATTGCGATTTTGGACGAGAATATTCTTGAATCTTTTTTTTTTTTTCCTTGAAAAAGTCAAAGTTTTCTTAAGAGGAAAGCATTTTCCCTTAATTTCAGCTCAGTTCCTGAATTCCACAATTTACAGTTTATCACTTGAATTGCCACTACCAAATTTTTCTCCTGGAGGTATTTTTCCCATAAATAATGGTGGCAGTACTTTCATAGAGCTTTTCCCCAAACAAACAGGTATGAGTCTTTAGCAAAGGATATACTGTTTGCTGCCTAATGGAAAAGTTCCTTAGCAAACTGAGTATCTGTTGATTTCATTTCTGTGCTCATACGACCACTGACATGACTTGATGTTGGCTGCTTTGGATCAACAGCACAAAGTTCAGGGTTGACTTCCTGGTCCAATTAAAGGTAGTACCAATATGGTTGTTGTCCTCAGAAAAATCAGGACATCAACTCAGGCACTTATCTGAATTTTCTAAGTTACTGGAATGTGCAAAGATGTTTTCACAACAGTCAACTCTGCATTTTCTAATTTTATCTCTCAAATCAGAAATGCATTTGCAAGAATTCCTCTCTCAGGGTTATTTTCCAGTGGGACAGATTCTGTCATTTTGTGATTTATGAAGTTGTTTCTCTGTACTGGATTGGAATTTTTTCTAAAATTTCTGATGTTTCTTGCCTTAAATGTCACTTTTCCTGCTCCTTGTTAGGCTCAGGTCTTTCATGTTTAGTACCAGGGGTTTCTGCATGGAAATGTGCATATTCCCAAATGACACAGGAGCCACTGCAAACTCTTTCATCCTTGCTAGGCCGTCTCCAGCAGCAGGCAAAGGACAGGTTCTGGGCTGGGGGGATAGTAGGGAGCTGAGTGTTTTGGGGGCAATGCACTAGGAGAGAGGAAGAGAGGACATGACCTGATTTTGGCAGCTGAGAAGGTACCCACACACTGCTGGGGGAAGCCAGAAGTCCTTGCTGCTGACTGGTACATTCATCAGTAGTATCCTAATTCAGGAAATTCTTGCTGTTGACTCAGGTTCTCAGTGTCTGAGGTTTCGGTCTTGCCTGTGTCCACACAAGGACCCTGGCCTGCCTCACCTGCTGCTTTTTACCACAAACCAAAGAGTTGATAATAAAATTTACAGTTCACTTTGGATAAGCTGCTTAGGTACCATTTGGAAATCAAAGCTGAAGGTAATTAAACAAGTTCTTAAAACCTTTTTCACCAAAGATATTGAAGACATTAGTGATGGTTTGTGAGGGCTCTGCCCATTGCCTCTGTTTTATGAGACCACCTGGCTGTGCTTTGTTTTTGTATTGTGCCTCCTGGGTCTGTGCCAGCAGAGCCTTCCTGCATTGCTCTCAGGTTCAATTACTACATCTATGCAAAACAATTCTTCACAGTATATATCCATTTCCTAGAGCTTTCAAATTGTTATTTTGCTTAATTGTCAGTAATATTGGGAAATGTTTCTTCCTGTTGGCTCAGTAATCTACTTCTTCTTCAGTGACCAGGAAGGGAAGGGTCACCTATGAGTGAAACATTTTTACCTTTGTAAATCTGAGGAGATATTTTTCTACTGTGTAGATATAAAGAAACAACATCTACTCCTGTCCCATGTCTTCTCCTTCAGGTCCTAGAAACATGGAAACCTATTATCTTCTAGTTAATCTAGTCTAGTCTTTCTTTCTTTAATTAAGCCTGAAATGCTAAAACAGTATATACACTGTGAACATTTCTGCTGATCATATTGTGGAAGACAGCACTCTGAAAATGCAGCTGTGCTATTCACTGTATAAACTGCTTAGCTACATAAATGATGTCCAAGCTGGGTCTGCAAACTGAAGGACCAAAAAATCAGCTGAATTACAAAACTCTGCCTCATGCCCTGTGCAGAGGGACTTCACTAGTCTTTAGGTAGGAACATTACCATGTCACTAATTGGTTGAATAATTTATAAAATAATCAGGTAGGTCTGCCTATTACTTTTCCTTGAGTATTATTCAATTTCAGGCTTGGAAGTATATCTCATAAAAATGTTGTATGTGTATATATATATATATATATATATATATATATATATACAGACACATGTATCTGTCAGTGAAATGTTAAAAGCCTGACAACTCAGGAGGCAGAACTATAGTGATTTAAATGTCTTTTGTCTTTTAAGTCTTTTTAATCTGATTTTTATTTACTGCTCAGTTTATTGTACATTTGAATTTTTTTACTTGCATAGTACAGTGTTTGACTGTTTTAAACACAATTGTGTTAGCAAATAAATCCAAAGTGATGAAGAATTTTCTTACGCTTGCAATATGCTAAAACCTGCTTGTCTTGGCTCTGTCCAACTCTACAATGTTACTTCTATAATATATAGTCTTAATGAGATGTAATAAAGTGCATAATGATGTGGCCCCATGTTCTCAGGACTACTTTTACTGCTTGACAGGCTAAGAAGGATCTCCTCTCTCTATCAGAGAATTGTGTAGGCATCGTCAGCCAGAGTTTAGGCTCCACTTGCCCTCTGATGAGCTCTGGTGGATGAGGGCTGGGTGCTGTAAAAGCTGCAGAAAGGCAGAGCTGTCTCTACCAAAGCCACTGGACCACAAAAAAGAGTGAGAAAAGATCCGCCTGCCTATCAGCCTCCCTCTTCTCCTCTTCCCCATGTCCATGCCTCTCTCAGCTCACTCTTTGCTTTCCAACTGCTTTAAAGCATTTTCCAGAGGAGTTTTTGGTAGGATAGTCCTTGTGCCACCCCTGAGTTTGAACTTCAGCTCAGCACACAGTGTTCTTCATGAGTGTGACTGAGCACATATTCAAGGGCTGTTTGGGCACAGGGACTGTGCTGGGGCTTTAGGCATCACCAGCTGGGCTTTTCTGGGCTGAGTGCTCCATTTCCTGGGCTCTGCCCTGGCCAAGGCTCCTGGCACAGCTTGGGTGGCCACAAGCAGTGGCACTGGCCCACTTCAAGCCAGCACCGTGCCTGTGAGCATCAAGGAGCAATTTCTGCTGGTGGGGACAAAGGGTGATGTTGGTCTTGCTGCATCTTTTGGATGGTGCTGCATCTTTTGGATGGTGCTCTGTGGTGGTGCAGCCCCTTGCAGGCCACTGTCCACACAGTTCTTGGGTTTGGGGTGGCAGGGTGTCTTCCAAAGCCTGCATCAGTTCTGTCTCCTCACTCTAAAGTAGCCTTACAACATTTCTAAGGGCAGATGCAAAGGTTTCTGTGCAGGAAGATAAATTAACAAAGCAAAGGCTGGGGTCAGAGCATGAAACCAGCCTTAGCACAAGGGAAATGTTAGGCTTAATTCTCATGGGTTATCAGCACCTTGGAAAGATGCTTTAACAATGTCTATAGAACGCCCTGAGGAATTCAGGGTTTAACTGTGCAGCGAGAGCCTGCTTCACTAATCAGACATTTTAATCCCATTTACAGTGTAATATATATTAATAAAAAAAAGAAAAGAAATTAAAGATACCCCAGGGATTCTTCAGCACAGCATTATATTTTATTAAATATAACATCAAAGTTGG